CCATAGTTATAATCTGCCAAGCTTGATTAGGAACAGGCAGGGGCTGTAGCAAACCAGGTTTTGCTACATGTTCAACCTTAGTTTGCTGGCAAACTTCACAACATCTCACATAAGTAGCAACCATAGATTTTAGGTTTGGCCAATAAAAATTTGCCCTGATTCTGTAATATGTAGCTTGTGCCCCAGAATGTCCCCCCTGAGCATAATCATGTAGAGATTGAATAATCTTCACTCTAAGGCTCCCATTAGCTCCAACATAAACTCTCCCATCATATCGAAGAACAACCTTAGAATATTTCCACTTACTGTCAGCAGAAGGAGTAATAGTCATAATTGAAATCCAATTCTGAGCTAAAGAATCACCTTGGTAGCTTTCTTCAATTTCTTGAATCAAAGTAGGCACCAAAACTGTCACTCCTATAGCCAAATACTGAGCCTGCTCCTCCCATCTCCTAGATAAAGCATCAGCAGCCACATTCAATTTTCCTTTTCTATACTGAATAGTATAGTCTAATCCCAACAGCTTTGTCAACCCTTTTTTCTGAATAGTGGTAGTCAGTTTCTGTTCTAGAAGAAACTTTAAAGGCTCATGGTCAGTCTTAATCACAAAAGGTTTACTTTCCAAGTGGTGTCTCCATTTAGAAACAGCCAAGAGAATAGCTAGATATTCTCTTTCATAGATAGATAAAGCTGAATGTCTAGGACTTAAAGCTTTACTCAAATAAGCAATAGGCCTACCTTCTTGTGACAGAACAACCCCCACACCTCCAGAACTAGCATCTGTTTCTAGATAAAAGGGCTTAGAAAAATCTGGTAGAGCTAATACTGGAGCAGAACTCATAGCCCTTTTAAGTTCTTCAAAAGCAGTACAAGCAGCAGAAGTCCATTGAAACCCATCCTTCTTTAACATCTGTGTCAATGGTCTGCTAATAATGCCATAATTTCTTATAAATCTTCTATAATAACCTGTCAACCCCAAAAATCCTCTAAGAGCTTTAAGGGATTTAGGCTTGGGCCAAGTATGCATAGCTTCCACCTTACTAGGGTCTGTAGACACCCCTGCAGCAGAAATAATATGACCCAGATATTCCACCTTAGTCTGTCCAAAAAAACACTTGGACATTTTTGCAAATAACCGATTCACTGCCAAAACTTCCAAAACAACCTGTAAATGTTCAACATGTTGTTTCATACTGCCACTGTACACCAGAATATCATCAAAGAAAACTAAAACGAATTTTCTAAGAAAATAACTGAATAATTCATTCATGAGAGCTTGAAATGTAGCAGGTGCATTAGTAAGGTCAAAAGGCATTACCTTAAACTCATAATGCCCCTGATGAGTTCTAAAGGTTGTCTTATAGATATCATCTGGTTGAATTTTGATCTGCCAATATCCTGACCTCAAATCAATCTTTGAAAAATAAACTGCCCCATGTAACTCATCCAACAAGTCTTCCACTATAGGAATAGGAAATTTATCTTTGATTGTCAAACTGTTCAGTTTTCTATAGTCCACACAAAACCTCCAAGTACTATCCTTCTTTTTAATAAGAAGGCAATGAGAGGCAAAAGGACTCCTGCTAGGTTGAATAATAGAAGAAGAAAGCATATTAGCTATTTGCTTTTCAACTTCAGTCTTCTGATTGTGAGGAAATCTATAAGGCCTTAGATTAACTGGTGTGGCAGTAGATACCAGTGGAATTGTATGGTCATGTGTCCTCTGAGGAGGTAGTTCTTTAGGTTCAGCAAAAACCTTGCTGTATTTATCCAAGATAGGTTGCAATTCAATAGGAACAGAGAAAGAGTTTCCTGCCATAGTTAATAGGACAATATGGCCCATAACATCAGAATCCCTTGCAGTCATTTTAAGTAATGTAGCTCCTGATATTTGATGTAATTCAGTTGAAGGTTGTTGACCTTGAATACAAATTTGTTCTCCTCCATGATCAAACTTAAGGTCATATTATTGAAATCCATCAAAATTGGACTGAATAATTTCATCCAATCAACTCCCAAGACCATGTCACTTCCTCCCAATTTAAGCAACCTAAAATCATGTAAAAAAATATGGCCCTGCATTTCCCATTGGACCTTGTTACATCTAGCAGAACTGAACAATTGTTGGCCATTAGCTACAGTAATGGCCAAAGGATAAGCAGTATTAACCTGTATGCCAGCATCAGCCCATTTAGGAGTCAAGAAACTGTGTTTACTGTCATTGTCAATTAAGATTCTCAATGATTTTCCTTGAATAGTTCCCTGGATTCTTAATGTATTATGGCCAATGCAGCCAGTAATAGCATTCATAGAGATTTCCAGATTCTCCTCTTCTTGTTATTGAAACTGCTCTGCCTCAGTAGGACATACTTCTACTAGAGAAGTGTTAATTTCCTCAGTAATCATATTTAACTGCCTGGTTTTACACTGATGACCTGGAATGTATTTTTCACCACATTTAAAATAGAGACTGTTTTGCCTTCTATAATCTATCAGATTTTGTTTTGGATTTGACATAGAAGTAGGTTTTGTGGCTACTGGTAAGGCATTTGTCTTGGATGTAGGTATGGGGTTTGGGTAGGGTGGGACCTTAAAAGAAGACCTGAATCTTCTACTTTCAAATTCTACTGACAGTTCATATAGCTTGGCTTGTTTACATGCTTCACACAAGCTCTTAGGGTCCAAGGCCTTAACCCTATGCTTAATATCATCTCGGAGTCCACTAATAAAAAGTGACACAAAAAATTCTTCAGTCAAAGTAGGATTCTGTAGAAGCATATAAGGTTGTAGCTCTTCAAACTTCTCCTGATAATCCTCTACAGACCCCTTCTGTATCAACTTAGTAAACTCCTCTACAATATCAGAAAATGATCTATCACTAAATCTGTGACAAATATCAGCTTCAAATTCATGCCAATTGACATGGTGTTTCTGCATTATATACCCATCAAACCATATTTCTGCTTTTCCAGTTAAAAACATAGTGGCTACCTCCACTCTCTGTTCCATAGGCACACTGCAAATAGAAAAATACTTCAAACATTTCTGGATCCACCCTCTAGGATTAACTCCTTCAAAGAAAGGAAGTTCTATTTTTGGTCTGTGCCACATACTTCCTGAACTGTTAAATGAGCCCCCTGTACCCCTTTTTTCAGCTTCCAGTCCCCACATAATAGGTCTAGTGTTACTGTTTTCCCCCATTTGATTCTCAAGCCTATAACTGTTCTTAAGGGCTAAACAAGCATCAGGCTTATCCTTCAAAATTCCAGGTTCATCAGTTTTATAGTTGAATCGTGATTTATCCTTCACTACCGTCACCAAAACAGGATTTTTCTCCCCATTTTTAGAGCTATTAGGAGTGTATACCTGATCACCTGCAGATTGCTCTTGTTCACCATTTCTGCCCGTTAAGATCTTCAAAATATCCTCCACATAGCCATGATTCGTGTTCATCCTTGCCTCCAGTGCAGTAATCCTGTTTTCCTGAGTCTCGCACCATTTAGGTGGATTTGTCTCATTTTGGCCTTGTTTCACCAACGCAGCTAGGTCCTCAATCTGTTTCTGAATCCCAGCTAAATCAGTTTCCGCCATAGCTTGATTCTTCTTTGGCATGCTCTTAAAAAATTTCCCTTGCCAGAATCGTAGCTCTGATTACCAATTGTTATAGATTGAAAGAAAAGAAAAGGTTTAGGAGAAGAATTTAGACGAAAGAGAGAGTTGATAGAGAAGAAAAATGCATCATTCATTTCATAAAGGAAAATATTGTTTACACATCAGTTTTATTTTCATACAGGCTGTTACAGGAATCTAACAAATGCCAGATGGCATTCTTCACTAACAGATTGCCTAACAAACTGATTCTTTGTTATCACAGGTACTGGGCCATCCGGTTGGGCTTATCCTCCTTGTTCTGACTGACTTTAGCCTGCTTCAACCCATCAGGTAATTTTAATTCTTTTTCCCCTCGTGCTTCATTTCTCTCTTTCAATTCAATTCCCAATTTACTTCCCAGAATCCCTAACCCTTGTTCCTCCTCCATCCCTAATTCATGCTCATTCGAATCCCGCTCACTTCCTCGATCTTCCCTTTCTTCTCCAACTACAACAATAGGATACGAACAAGTGGTTGTTCTGGCCACAGCAAGCGTTGACAAGAAAGTGAAATTGTGGGCAACACCATCCGTAAATTCTTCATGGGGAAATCATTTTGCATTTCATGTCAAGAATTTCACAGCCATAGTTGCGGATGCAGTGATCTAAACAACCTTTAACAACAATAGTGAATCCATACTTGGCTCTTATGGAATAGTTAGAGTTGTATGGTAGGCATGATTGGAGGCAGGAATCCTTCATGTGTTTTTATATTACTGAAATTATGCTTACTCCAAAGTTTTAAATTGTTGGGTTATTGTTGGATAAATTACGACGTCGAACGGTTGCTAAAGTTTGGATTAGTTCATTTTTTTCACTATTGAAGTTCAGAAAGTTACAAAATGGTCATTAATATCATCATTTTATAACAAAACGGTCATTGATTTGACAACGGTATATGCACTAAAGGTTCAAGCTCTTGCAACAGCAGCAGAAAGCGTTATGACTCGACATCCCAATTTTGAACACCAAGAAAAAAGACTGAATATTTCAAAAGATACGACTAACATGACTTTATGTGACACAAATATTCACTATTTCAATAAATAATTAAAAATGAATGTCAAAACTATAATTAAGTTTAAAATATTATATTTGGATAAAATAACCCATTTGTTGATTATTAGTGACGTCGTATTATTGTGTTATAGAAATAGATAAAGTGCTTAAAACTTTAGAAATTGAGGTGTTTAAATCGATATATATTAAAAACAAGGCGACTAAATTACTATATAACAAAAAATTATATTTCATAAACGTGTTTTAAAAAAAAAGTAATTGATAAACGTGTGGTGAAACGACATGGCCGGTGCCGTTCAAGCTGCTCTATTAAAAGGCTCAGCTTGCAAGCAAGGAGCAGAGACTGAAGGATAGCGAGCAACGGAGACAGAGGCAGGAAGAGATGGCAACGGCATCAATGCAGTCACCAAGCTTTCTCTATAAATACAAAAGGAATCCCCAATTCCACAAAATCTGCAAACTTCCGCGCATCGTCCTTTCACAATCTGACGATAAGCCCCACCACCGAATTCCTCGAAGGTAACTTACCTTATCTCTCGATCTAAATAGTCGCATATATTTATCATAATCCGTAAGAATCGAAGCTGAAATTTCGCTGTTAATTTTGAAGGGAGATAATATTGAGGAGCAGCGAATTGGCTGTTGTAGGAGCCATCTTCAGTTTCAGGTTTGTGTCCAAGCACCATTTCTTCAATTTTTTGCTCATCTTTGGGTTCTTATAAATGGGTAAAAAAACTATGAATGAGTGAATGGCAGTGGGAAAAAGCCAGAATATCTAGGAGTGCAGAAAAATCCGCCATCTCTCTCGCTTTGTCCTGCAACTAACAATTGTATATCGACCTCCGAGAATGTCAGTGATACCACCCACTACGCTCCTCCATGGTAAAGCTTTTTTCTTTCTTTCTTTCTTTCTTTTTCTGAAATTGGAAATGTCAATTTTGGCGGGTAAACAGCGCAACGCGTGAAAAATGTGCGCCGACCTCTTTCATAGATCGTCAAAGAAATGTGATGCACATTGATTTTTTATATACATAAAGGAATTACAATGGTGGGCGTAATAGGAAAATGCCGGTGACACGAGAAGTGGCAATGGAAGAGCTTCTTCAAGTGGTGAAGTTTTTCAAACTGATGGATAATATTGAACACCCATTGTAAATGACATTTTTAAGTATAGAATCACTAATAATACGGGCATATTGCAGATAAAAGCAACGAAGCCAGACAAATATACACCCAAAATTGTGGAGAAGAAAGACGATTACGTGCGCGTTGAATATCAAAGTCCCATATTAGGGGTAAGTTTTTATGTTGTGTTCTTATTCATTGCCAAACACAGACATGCAAATTGGCAACTGAATGTGGTGTGTTCTTCCACAGTTCGTGGATGATGTGGAGTTCTGGTTTCCACCGGGTAGGAATTCAACCGTGGAGTACCGGTCGGCTTCAAGGATCGGGAGCTTTGATTTTGACGTCAACCGGAAAAGAATCAAGGTAAAAAGCATAAATTATTACAACAACAAAAAAACGATAGAAATATAAGCAAAAGTTTAGTCGTAAATTAACTGATAAAATTGACATCTTTTTTCTCCTTGCAGGCATTGAGAAGGGAGTTGGAAAAGAAAGGATGGGCTTCAGCAGAAACGTTTTAGAGTGCTTGCTTTGCTCCAATTATTTTTCTAAATGTAGTATCTAAAGATTTAATAATAGAATTTCAACATTTACAACTAACTTTTTTTTATATAATTAATAATTACCAGTTCATTATTTTTCCCTTTACCCAAATACAAAACAGAACATTAAGTGCCTGTTTCTTGGCCTAACATCAATCAACTAAGATTTTATAAATATCACTATGGTCGGAATACAAGAAAACAGTTCAAATGTACCAGCAGGTATATTAATTCAAGGACTCAGGTGAAAATATAACGACCATTACCTAAATTTAGAGTATTCCGCTTCTGCAAGGGCTCTAAACTGGCTTAGCACTGAAAACCATCATCAATCCTTCCTCGGATCCATATATTCGAGGTGGATACTGTCACCATTTACGATGACAATTTCATGTTTTGTCACCCTGAAATAGAAAAAGCAGAGTTGGACATGGAATTGACATTCTTAAAGAAAGGTAAACAAGACTGAAGCACCAAGAGTGTGTGTTAGGGAGGAGAAATCTATTGTTTGCGGGTAACTTGAAGGTAGCACATATGAGTTCGATATTTATGCTCATGATCTGAGATCCATAGTAAGTCTCATCGGAAACAACAAACAAGCTTATCTGCAAACAACGTACATGAAGCTGAGGAATCATCGAAACTAGAACCACTAGAACTCACGGTGTAGATATCTCCCTCGGATGCTGATGCAAAAACAGCACATCAATAGCTTCAGCTTCCATAAGTGGAGTAACAGCATCCTTAGAGATCGACGAATTTAGATGACAAAATTTAGAAGTTTAAATGGAAAAAATATATAGCGAGTAACAGGCAATAGGAAAGGGATAGGGGATTTTAGTTGGCTATCCTAGAAAGGCATGATGACCATCTCTTAGGAACCAACAGCATCGTATGTGAAGACAACCTTTTCCTAATGGTTGAACATAAGCATATTAATTCGTGTCCAAAAGGCGTAAATATATTTTGGTACATGAACTAGACATCTTTTCCTAAGTTAATACCTAAAGAATTTTTGCTCCCAAGTTAGCACCTGAACTAGGCATCTTCTCCCAAGTTGGTACTTGAAGAACTTTTGCTCCCAAGTTGGTATATGAACTAGGCATCTTCTCCCAAGTTGGTACCTAAAGAATTTAGGAAAAGATGTCTAGTTCATGTACCAACTTGGGAGCAAAAATTCTTCAAGTACCAACTTGGGAGAAGATGCCTAATTCATGTACCAAATGTATATTTAAGCCTATTCAGAATGGGAAAGTAAAGGCTTAAAAACTAGCACCTTAATGCAGATTACCTTCATTATCAAGGCCACCCAAAACATTAAAGAATAATAAGGAAAGAAGCGCTTGTAATACAGGGTGTTGGAAAGCAGTTCAGCCATTGCAGGGCAGCTCATTTTCTTGTTTTACTGATGCTGGTACATCTGTATTTTGAGAAAGCACAGACAAAGCATTAATGGTTATAGTTTTGTCCTTAAATTTCTAAGCTGCATCAAAACTAAATTGCCTTTGTCATTGCAATTATTATAGAACAGTTTATTAATGCGAAAAGTCAAGTGAAGCCATAATTCATGTTGCAAAACAAATTTCCGCCATATTTTTTAAAGTTGAAATCTAAAAAAAAGGCTTTTGGAAAGCCTTCACATCAGCTTGAAATCCTGAGGATGCCATAAGGCATTTTATCTGCTCTGCAATGTTAAAAAAATAAGATTTCACCTCTTTCCATCTCCATTAATGCTTCCTTGAAAACAACAAGATGCACCACCTAAAGTCCAGTTATGTATTACTGTTCATGATCTTGGTCCAAAGAGGGAGAATGAATAAAGGCCGTACATTTTCCTTTACTTTCTCAACTATATGATTATGCAGACATGTAAGGTTGCTCTCTTCTAGAGTTCCATAACAAGAATGACATCGTTCGAGAAACTATCAAACATATGATGATAGCTTGGATTAAAGCTTGCCCAGTTCTATACCCTTTCTAAAATGGAAGTCTAATCAAGTACTGGATCCTTTCCGACCAGGGATTTAAATAACGGTGTCATCTGAAACACAATGCAACGACCGAAATAGCATCTGATATGCACAACGCAACCGAAAAATAGGCCGCAACCGTAATTTAAATCCTTGTTTCATACATTTGAAGCAAAAACTAATTTAAAAATCCGTGACCCATAGACTAATTTCACACACACACAAATGTAGTAGTTTTACTACTTGAAAAATAGGAGGCAAGAAAACTTAGTAGCAAATTCCACAAAGTTTCTTAATTTCTCCCTAAAGCTTTCAATTCCTTTGATTCAAAGTAGCTCGCCATTTTTAAAGACTAAAACCGAAAATTCATGCTAATTAGGACTTAAAACACCTTTTAAGTGCTAAAAAACCCTTGAATGCCTAAATTCCATTACTTTCAATCAAGTTTGTATGTTAAGTTTTGCGTTGTAAAAACAAAGGGTAGGCTAAAAGAACATAAGAGTTCAGAGATTTTGGAGAAGTCTGCAATTTACGAAAAGTAATACAACAACATTAAATAACGAAATCTGCAGATAAAAAAGAACAAAAGTACCATCCATTGTTGTCGTACGGAGGACCAGTCAGATTGCAGCTTGGTCATGGTGGAAGAAACTCAAAGACCTGGGTCCACAAAAGAGGAAAATAAACCTGACTACAATGTGATATTAATATTTATATATTTTAGGTTTAAATTTTCATTTTTTTAATTTTTTTAAAATATAAACTGAACTATCAAAACCATCACTTCTTTTTATTTTTATTCACTTTTGATCACTATTTTTTTTTTGTTACCTCTCAGTTTTGCCTATCAATAATGTTTTTAAAAATATATTTTCATTATTTATATAATAAATTAATGATATTTTAATTATTAAATTGTTAAAAGTATTTAATTAAATATTACGCTAATAAGATTTTAATTTTTAATTTTTTTAAAAAAGTTATTTTTATCTTTTTAATTTTATATAAAATATTAATTTAATGCTTACAAAATAAAAAACAACTAATTTTATCAAAAAAATATTTAAAATTACAATAAAAGTTTACAATTAAAATTGTGAACTAAGCACATAATTAAAATATTATCCTATAATTTTATTAATATAATTTCCATAAAAGCACACATATAAAATTCACATGTTAGAATATAAAAATTACTACTGAGTAGATATAACTGATATAAAAAACTTAAAGATTAAAATACAATTTCACTCGAAACGTGATTTTTAAAATTTAAAAGTAATAGAAAAAAAAAATATTTTTGGGTTTAGATTTAAAAGTGTATTCCAATAATATTTTTACTTTAATTTTTTTTTTAAAAAAGATTTGTGATTAGTTAATATTAAATATTCATATCTTTATATATGTGACTTTTGAATTCGAGATCTCAAGAAATAACAATAATTCATTTATTATTAAAATTGTTTGATCGGTACCTTAAGATTTTAGGTGTAAAAAGCTTTAATATAAAAATACATTTAATAAACATTCCCACACGGTCGGACAGTAGCTTGCTTACCGTTGCTAGCAAGAAAATTCGATTACACTGACCCATGTAATGATTCTGCGTCACAGATAAACAAGGTTACCGTGCCGGAATTTTTAGTCCAGGCCGTTTTTTGTTTCGTCTGTTTATCGGCAGGACAAGTATTTTTGTGTTTCATGTCTCTCCCGCATTTACACTATAATGTCAAATTGTAAGTTCACATATTATCCTCGTTGCTTTGTTTTGTTTTTGTTTTTTTTAAAGAAGAAAAAAAAATCTGACATGATTTTGAAAATTAATGAACAGGTATCGATCGAAAGCGCATTTGATTGATGTAACTGAGATCTTTGATAACAAGTTCAACTGGAAAGAGGAACGACTTATTAAATTTGGCTATCTTATTATCATTTTTGTTTTTTTTTTTATCTATGTAATAACAACACCACTTTATATTTATTTATTATTTTGATCGTTTTGAACCAATTCCCCTATTACATCTGTTACAGGTTGCTTTGTGTTGTAGGACTTTATGATTGTTAAACAGGTTTTAGTGTGAATATTCCACCTTGTTTTGTGGTATGGATTATTTTTACCATTAATATTTTTATTTACATATTAATGTCATGGATTTATTAAGATTCTTCAGTAAAAAAAACACAAAAGATGTCTTTATTTGTTAACAATCTCTATAGCAGGTAGTTAAAATCTCTCAGTTGACTCCTCTAATTCTCTCATAAACTGTAGATTCAAAATTTATTGTGAGTAAAATTTCTCTTCTCCTTCCCTAGATAGGAATCGTTCAAAAAAAATGTTTTTATCTGAAACATTAAAACCTAGGTGAATACGAGGAACGTACTTTATCCTACATTAATATTCAAGAACTCATGAACTCCACTTTGCCCAAAGAAATTTGGGGCCAAGATGAATGATATGTTAAGTTACAAAACTAGATTGCAGGCAAAGATATGTTGATATCAGTTGCTGAAATTCTTGGCTCCTGTATGTTGCCCCAATTTTCTGTTCAGAAATTAGCAGTAGCGAAGTTTTGTTACGAATGTTGTACGCCAATGCCATCCTCTTTTCCCATGTCTAATGCAGGTTCGTCGACTATGTTTGCAACAGCATCAGATACGGACTCGTTTCTCTGCTTATTGGACTTTTGGCCGTGCTGGTTGCCCGGTAAAAAGCTGCCCACGACAACCTGATTATTCGACGAAAGATTAGCCAAGAGATGCAGGGAATTTTAGAATGCCAGAGATTAATTCCGGTTTTCCATGATTCGGACAAAAGTCGGTGGCAAGCATGTTTTGTTCTCCGTTAGAGTAGAAGGGTTTACCTGTATAGGACTAGCAGCTACGAGAAGGCCAGCAACACCTCCGCCAACAACGCGTCCATTGGGGCTCGCCAATGAGACGCTCATCCCACCAGATCGACTTGTAGTTCCTTGAGTTTCCGTAGGCATGAAGGAACCAGACAAGGACAGTATCTCAAAACGACCCTACAAAGAGAATAGCAGGGATCAACGTTTCTTTTAAGGATTAGGATCTTAGTTTTCCGTAGAAGATGAACAATTGGTTACTAAGACAGGCCCTAGAAACCATAGTCAAGCATGATCGAATTAGAATCATCAATGTACCAGCTAATTTAATAAGACTATAGTTTAAAGAATTGTCCCTAACCTCATACGTAAGTGTACCGCCGGAAGAATCAGGCTGACGAAGTGTAACATTTGAAATGACTCCATTAGCGGATAGGATGCAAATGGCTCTTGGTCCTTGTTGAGAAAACGATATCACCTTCATTGTTACATCCTTAAACGCCAACAAAATCATAGATGAATATTTTTTAGAACTACTGATACTTAACAAAGCTATCTCTTTCCGACGGAACATACCTCGCCAGGATTGACAGTGATGATATGTGGCGTAAAATTTGTTCCGACGGAAGTTCCGGCCAACTCACCTATAAAACATGTAAATATGGAATTCTGCTGTTAAAAGTACAAAAAACTATTTGCTAAATATAGAGGAAGAGACGAAAGTAGAACAAGTATTAAATACAATAAGTTAATATAAGACTTAAAAAAAATATAAATTAGTTATAATTTAAAAGTTTATTGCGTAATTATTTAAATTGGGTAAGATTTTAAATTGAAACTAAAAATATTAGTTTTTTTCGTAACAAACCATGTAAATTGTATAACTATTCTAGTTTCAACATAAAAAATTATTGTCAAGATATTTTCGATTATAATCAAAATTATTATCAATTGTGTAAGTTTTTAAAGTAGACAAATAACATTTTAGGTTAATGTAACATTATCGATTGTAATCAAAATTATTATAAATTGTATAAATTTTTATATTAAAAAAATAACATTTTGTATCAAATTATCCTCAGAAAATAGAAACATTACTAAATCTATAACGTGGCAGAACTGGAAACCCAAAAACAACTTGCTAAAACTTGAACTAAAAGAAATAAACTTTCTTCCAAAGGGTAACCTTCATTACCTAAATTCTCCATTTCCGTTCCCTTATGCTTAATCTGGTAACCGCCGCCTCGGCCTCTCCCCTGCTTTCCTCCTTTCGGAAACTCAGCCGTGCCGGGCGGAACCGATGAGGAAATAGGCATAGGTGACAATGCCCTTGCCATTGCCCCATCTGGTCCATATTTTCTAGGCCTACCTCTCTTCTTCTTTTCTGTACTACCGGTAAACCCCACACTAACTGGCGGAACATCAACCGCCAATAAGCCGCCAGCAATGTGAACGGCATTTTCAGTACTTGGCGCCATATGATAACCTGAATTTGTTTCCATGCAACTATTTGCCCTACAAATATATCAGAACTTCCAGATTCAAGGCCAAATCACCTACAAAACATAAATTTATCAACCATAGACAACAATAATAATAATAATACCCGAAAGATATTCTGCAAAATTGTAAAAAGAAAAAAAAATCCAAGGCATTTCAAGGGGACAAAACCTGCTAATACTCAAAGCTCAACTTTCTGTTTAGGTCACATATCAGTCCCTTAACACATACTAAAAAAATCAAAAGCATGGAAATTTACACTGACATAAAAAAAATTACATAATCAACCTAAGAAAAATTTTTTCCTATTTTTCTAAGCATTCAACTTCATCTCAAAGAAAGAAAATGAGCAAGTAATTAAAGCACTGATTTTCCTTTTTTTTAAATAAAACTAAAAAAGAAAGAAGAGTAAACTTAGAGAACTTTGAAGTTAAAAGATCATTTACCTGTAACTTAGAAATTCAAAAATGTTAATTAGCTGAGAAACTGCTTTCTGAATTGAGTGAAGAAAATACAAAAATGAAAATATTTTAATAAGGTTTAAATGATTATTAATTAGTAGGTAAAAGTGATAACCCCCAATAAATAAAATTTTGGTTAATGAGGAATTTCACGTCCGTTCGGGGGAAATTGAATTCGAAAATTTAATTAAAGTAGGGTAAAACAGTAATTTGGTCAAATAAAAGGTAGTTTTTATCCACTAAAATATATTATTTGTGTGTCTTTCATTTAAAGCTGCAAAGTTAGCGTTGAAGGGCCGACCATTTTATTGCCGCTGACCTGCTTTTTGTCTTGTTTGTCAATTTAATAATTTGAATATCTTAGAGTAGATTATACCCTTTACTTCTCGTTTTATTCACGGTTATGCCACCTCCTTCTTTTCAGTCAAGAAATATATAAATATATATATAAAAAGGGACCGGATTATGGCCTGTCCGAGAGACAGCCACGTAGTTATTATTGGTTTTTTTTTATTAAAGTAAAATTTCATATATAAATAAATTTTTGTGGTAAAAGTACTTGATATAATTGCTAAAAATTAATTAGTTATTTTGTAATAACAGTAAATTTTTATTTTAAAATTTATTTATTATATAGTTTTTTTAAAATATTTTTTGGTAATAAATATTTTCATTTTAAACATTAGATAATAAATTATCTATTTCTTTTCCTATTGCGTTTTTATAAAAAAACATCAATAAATTTTAATATGATTACTTAACATTTTTAAAAGGTTAAATGTTAAAATTTTATTAGAACAATTAAAATTTTCAATAATTTATCAAACATACTTAATCTAATTTATATTGAATCTAAATGGTTTTATGCATTATATTCTATTAAAAATATAAATTTACACTAACCTTGAATTAATGTTTTTCATGTTATATATTAAATTTTAATTATTACTTAGGTAATTATAATTATAAGTAAATTACATATTTAGTTATCTATTTGTTCTTGTGGTTTCATTTTGATCATCTAACTATTTTTTAATCATAGCTAACATTATATTTTTGTTCCATTTTGGTCACCCGCCCGTCAATAAAAATAAACAAAACAGTTGACGTGATATTTTTTTATTTTTCAATGGCAATATGACATTACCTTATAGTGACATATCAATATCACTATTATTTTTTTAACGAGTGATCAAAACAGAAATAAAATGTAATATTATGTATGTTTTTGAAAAAAATAAGTATTTTGGTGACCAAAATGAACCACGAGAATAAATAGGTGACTAAATACGTAATTTACCCTATAATTAGATTATGATTTAAATTCACCCAGCATAAGATCGGTCAATAATCATTGAATTTTCTATCAAAGATTATTTAAGATGAGCTGTCCCCAACTTTACCCAAACCAGTAATTGAAAATTTCGGATTTGGTCCGATCACTTAATGACTACCTAGAAAATGAGGGTCTTCACGATTACTGATATGACAAATGAAATAAAATAATACACTAGAAATTGGTTTAAAAAAACAGAGAAGTCCTATGATTTGCACAAACACCATCAATCTTTGTTTATTATCCAAGTATGCTTCCACACATAGTCCATGGTTGGATATTCTTGGTTACAATTTACAGTAAGAAAGTTCAATCATATAGAACAGTCAATCAAATTTGACTCTGCAAACAGACAAGTACAAAGGACAAACTCTGTTTTCTTTTTCCTGTATAAAGAAACTCAAACAGAAAAGTTAGGAAGCAATAAGGTAAGGCTAGGAATTCATTACCGCTCGTTTTTTAGGAGCTTTAAGACAGAAGAAACCCAGCTCTAACCTCTTCAAAAGAGTATTCAATGTGTTGAACTTGTTCAAGTATCTTTCCAAATTTATAAGCACCCAAGGTTGCTGGAGTAGCCGGTGTTGTTGCCATAAGCATGGGAGCTGACACCGTTGAAGGAGTTTTTGGCATTGGGATAGGCATTGTTTCAGGGGTTCCCTTTTCATCTTCATTCAAAGTTGTCTTGGAAGCCTTAGCCATCGGTGTCTTACAACCGGGGCTTGATTTTTGTTCGTTCTGCACTTTTTTCTGATCTTCAATGGGATTCACACCGTTAGCATTGTTGTTCACCGCAAAAGAAACCGAAGAAAGAGGCTTCCGAACTGCCGGTGGTTCAATCACACGCATCTTTGCTGCACTTAGAGGCTGCTTTTTTTCTACACGACCAGGAACCTCCGAGTTTCTCCTTCCTACAACAACATCCACAAATTTTCCAATGTAAAAGGTCTAATATATCCCATGGCTGAAAAAAATGACTGCCTTATAATATGGTTATAAGATTAAAATATACCTGAGTGAGTTGTAAAGCCAGTGGATCTCTGATGATTTGTCAAGCTGTTTTCGTTCATATAATCAGCTTTCTTATTGGGTTTGAGATGGCTAGCAGGTTTCTCACGCTTTACTTGCTGAAGCATTGCTCCACCAAATGAGAGTTTCCTATGATTGGCAACGGTTGTTGGAGTTCTAGAAGCCTTTTTCCCGGTCATGGATGGACTGGGTTTTGAACCATAGAGTGCTTCTTGCTCTGTCATCTGCTGCCCGTGAATTTTCTTTTGGTTCTTTAAACAATAAACCCCAAACAATTCAAACACAGGTTAAGATGAGAAACTTGTATCAAACTGAGGCTTAAAAGAAAAAAATCAAATAGGAGAGCATACTCTGTGTCTCTGCGTCTGTATTTCTTTTTCTTGCCTTAGGCTGCTGTAGTCCTCGAGCATAGTAAGAAGTCGTCCCTAGAAGCAATTGAAAACATCATCATACAATTACATATAAAGAAAACAAAAACATTTACTAGAAAACAAGGAAATGACAATTGGTAGCTCAACTTCGATAAAAAATCTTAATAGAAATTTGGAAAATGCTTACTCCATCATAGAAGAACTCAGCCCCTCTCTCTTTCTCCCAAGCTATAGTTTTTGAAGTCAAAGCCTCCACCATTGCTACACCATAAGAATTGAAAATTATGGAACTGAAAAGTCCATACTCCTGATTTCCATTACATTTATTGCCTAGTAAATCAGTTTGCTGGAGAAATTTACCAGGAATTTTGTTAACAACGGTTCGAGCTCTCTCAGCCCGTTTCAGAATGAGGTGTGCTCCTCTTCCAGCATTATAACGGTTGTCATCCTAAAGTTTGTCAGTCAGTAAGTCTCTAAAAAGTTGTTGGAAACAAGAATGCACATTATTCCATATAAACAGGATGAGTTTGATTCCAACCCTATTGTACTCTTCCAACCAGCTCTCTTCTTCACGAGCAGCCAACCACTTCTCCACCTTCTCAAGTATTTCTTTGCGGCTGACAGCTTCCTCTTTAACCTTAGCAATCTGAAGGTCAATGTTTTCCAACAAGTACAGAGGATCAATGGCACCTGCAAAACATTTTCAGTAGGGTAACAAAAAAAGTATTGGTGAATCATGGCCCTTCCTGGCAGAGTTTGTTTTAGAGTTTAATTAAAAGACATTGCTCAAAAATTGGAAAACTTCATGTTCGCAGGGCAACAAAACAAATATATTCATGTTATAAAAATAATATAACTAGCAATGCATTGTGATACTTACCAGATTCCATAGCTTCAATCGAGTAATCTTTTGAAATAAGTGCTCCCATTACCATGTGAGTCCTTCTGCACATGTCCTCTAATTCAACCTTCTTTTTCAGAACAATTTCCTTCATTTTACATGTTTTGAGTAACTGCAGCCTAGACACTTCCTCCTCAACCTACAGGAATTCACTCATACAGAGAGTTCTATACAAGCCATTTTCCATATAAACTCATATTGGATAAATAAAGGAAGAATAGGTCATCATATGGGTCAATATATAGTTATTAAAACTGTGACATTCTGTATATAGGTTATTGCTTTGTATTGTTGACTTTCAGGGAAAACCGAATGAAGCTGTCTTCCTTCTCCTTAAGCTTTATTTCTTAGCTCACACTTTACAATCTTTATTAGTATTTCTGTTAGTCTTTGATTCATTCTATGTTGATGTAGATGTTTTAGCCTTACGGCCATTTAGACTAAGATATGTCCTAACCTTTTTAATAGAGTCAAGGGAAAGCATATTGGGCTCTTTAAATTCAGGTTCAGAAGCTGCAATTTTACAGGAAACATTCAGAAACATCTGTTGTTCCTCCATTGGCGTGTCCATCAGATACCAAAGCTCCAACAAAGCAGATGCAAGATCTTGAATCTGGTAGAGGCACAGCACAAAGGGTCAGAAGTACCAAACACAAACAAATGTTCAAGGCTTTAAAACATATAGGGGGAAAATCACTATTTCTATTATCGTACTAACCTTCTGCATTCTCTTTAGCTTTAGCTCCTGCAGGCTTTGAATTTGAGCAACCAACCTTGTAATGGTATTGTTACTTACATCTTTTGCTACATTCAAATTATCCAAGCTAGGGTGGATTCTGCAAACTGTTTGTTTCAAATCCATACCAAGAACTGTGCACAGTGAGTTTATAGTATATAAGTGGTCTTGCACCTGATTCAAACGTTTGATCTGCAAATGACTTTAAAGTTATATCAGTAATAGCTATCATTTTGAAAGTACTGCTCAAATATATCAGTAAAATCCAAAATGACATGCGACTTGTCAATCAGAATAAGACACTAATTATATGCTCTCAAATATCAAGACTTGCTGCTAGTATTGTCGTCAAGGGATAACCAATCATAGAGACTAACCTTCTCATTTTGAAGATCAAGCAGCTCACTATGCAATTCTTCAAGTCTTCTTAGTGACAGATTGGTCTCGTCAACAAACACCTTATTTCCATTTTGTTCTTTAACCCCCAAAATCTCATTTGATAGATTTTGTATCTGCTCTACAACTCCAACAAATTGATTAGTTCTTTCCACTTTCTTCCAACGCATATCCTCCAACAGTGGAATAATGGCTTCAAGCTCTTCCTTCAAGTTCCCACCAGGCTTCAAATCATACTGAATAAATATAACTAATTACATGAAAACACTTTACAAAATCCAAAACAAGCCCATGTTAACAAATACAAATCTATTGATTATACACTAATAACTGCACTTACACGCACCGAGTTCTCTCCCATAGAAGTAAAGATATCTGAAAGTTCTGCCATGGCACTGGCAATTCCTCGTTGCAATTTAGTTCTACATTCTTTAGCCTCTTCTATTCTTTTCGTGTAGACCTGGTGGCATTCTCGTTCAACTTCAAAAAGCGTTGTATCCCATTCATCATCAGCCTCTCCAACTTCATCCCGTATTTTCTGTAATAAATAAAATAATGGTAACTTTCTAAAACATTTATGTCACGTTTGGTTACATTAGTTTCATAGTAAGGAAAAACTTAATTATTACAGGAGTATTAAAATGGTTTCTATTGATATAAAGAATAATTAATACAAAACTAAACTTAAAATTAGGAAGACGAGCAAAAACTCAAGTAAATAATAACACGTCTTCAAAATAAGTAAAATATTTTCCTCCTCTTTGTTCAAACAAAGTCATGTAAGGGGCAAAAGATTATCAAATGAAGCTATATTATAGCTAACTCATGTATTAAGACATAAAAAAAAATAACACACCAACTAAACTGCAAACAATACCAAATTACAAAATATGCTTTGAGAGATCTTAAGGAGGACCTGTAATTCACACAGTAAAGAGCCGCAAGATTTTTCAATGCGCGCAAAGTGTTCACTATAATGATTTGACATGGAGCCGGCAATATTCTGCAACAAGAAGAAGCCTCTTTAGCCTCGTAAAAATTGGTTTTCTGGGCTGTAGAATTGCAAGTAAACTAGAACGGGAAAATAGAATCTGATCATGATGATGATGCAAATTCACGGATTATTTTCGTTTAATTTCTAAAAAAAATAGAGATAAAAAAAGTGAAACACTCCGTATTGATTATCGATTATCAATCGAGTGAATAACACAATGATTAAAAGCCTTACAGTAAAAAAGTGTTTTCTTAACAGTTTTTCTTTTGCATTCTCGCAGAACAAACAAAAGCCATCATAATTAAGCTAAAATTGAACATATGAACAAAAAAATCCGATTCAAAGTAAAGAAAAGAAATTCAAGCATGATCAAAGAAAAATGAAAGTTTTCGTAATTAACTGTAGTCGCTGAGTACCGAACCCGATGATTGATGATCAGAGATCCAATCCCAGATGGAAAGCCAAAATAAATTAGATGAGGGAATCGATGGCAAAAGTAGCTAAAGAGAAAATGTATTGTAACGCTTGAATTTTCAGCGAGGGATTGTGAGCGGGAAAGAGCGTTATGTAGGGCGTTGCGGGCATAAAGGTGAAAATTTAAATAGATGCTGACATGTCATTGTCCACTGCCTCGAAATCAAATAAAAAAAATCTGATAATGAAGTAAATTAGATTGAAAAGATAGTCTCTAAAAAAATAGATCTAAATTTGTTAATTAATATATTAAATATTGATGATTAAATAAAAAAATGTTATTATCAAGAAATTATTTCGTGATCCTTTCTTATTATATTATTAATGATGTTAATTAAAGAATTCATTGAGGTTTTTATATCACTAATTCACTCATATTAACTTTTAAGTAACTATTTAATTTCATATTTATATAAAAGCAGTGAAGATTCATCGTTGAAAAAATGATATAAAAAATAAGATAAATAATTCTTCTTGATTAAAATTATAAATGACGTAACAAAAAGAGTATATAATAAATTTTATTGTTCTAATTATTTTTTTAAAAAGAGAGATTTATGGTTGGTGTTTCTAGAGAATTATATGCATTCGTATAGTATGATTGCGTTGCATTTATTATGATGATTAGGTCGACGGTGGGGATCAATAAATCTTAACCTGTGCTTTTGAAATTCAAAAGTTGCTGCAGCGTGTAATTGTACAACTATTTGAATTTTTTAAAGTTGAATTTGGCGAACCAAATTGCTGATATGTTTTTCAAATACCAATCCGTGAAAGAAGGTCCCGACCACCCGCTTTTCGGAGCCAAAGCTTTTCAAACTTGAAGCTGTTAACCGGAGTGAGTGACGTGAGGAATCTAAAAATTAAAATATGGAGTCTAAAATTTTAATATTCTTTTTAAAAGAATAATAGGTATATAATTTTTTTTTACTTTTTCTTCAACACTTTAAATTTAATTTAATTATTTTTTTAAAATAATGGTATGCACTTAGTCTACTAGGAGACTCGGTGCATCTACCCCTGAACAGAGTCATTGTTCTTTGCAAGGAATCAAGCTTAATTGTTCCCAAAATCACCTATTATAAATAACAAATCGAATATACTCACTAGATTAATATATATTTATATAAAACAATTATTTACGAATTAAAAATAAGGGTAAATGACACAAATAGTCACTAATGTTTGAATAATTTTTCATTTTTCTCATTGAAGTTTCAAAATTAATTAATTAATCATTGATATATCAATTTATAAATAATAATAAATCGATCACTAAACATTAACAGCCGTTAACATGGGTGACAAAGCTTATTTGGCCTGTTAACCGCTTACTTAGCAATGTTGACCAAAACATGCCACATCATAGTAAAATAATAATAAAATAATGTATATTATTGTAGAGTGACCAAAATATGATTAATTCAAAAGTTTGCCTATGAAATTAAAAGAATTTAAACTTTAATGACTAAAATAAGAATAAAAAGATAATTGAATGATGGATGGTTTAATTTACCTAAACCTATTTTGCTATATTTTTAAATAATGAATGATTTTGTTTCCTCTTATAACATATTTTTAGTATGCTCGTATAGCATGCATTTTTTTCTTGTAGTTAAATTTGAAGTCCATCTATCTAAATTCAGATAGTGTTTATCTGGTTATCTTATTAAACTATCCATGCTTTGGAACCTTAGTGTAACACTCATATTTAACTTAAAATCTTGACGAGTTTATGAGTGTCACACTCCACCACCAGAATAATCTAAATATTATTATAAAATTTAAAACTCTTTTATTTAAAAATTAGATATACAAATAAATTAATATCAAATAATTTACAAACTTTACTCAAAGATTTAAATTATATATCCATTTAAAGTAAATATTTAATGTGCTCTAAGTGAACCAATTAAGACTCATCCGATGATGTGATGTCTTATCGCGAACCATGAAAATTGTAACATATACACGAAAATAATTCAAACATTAAACTTATAAAGTTTAATGCTACACAACTACTCTACTATATTTTATAAAATTTATACATATAAATATATAAGTTAAAACATAAGCAATGATGTATCATAATATAAATATCTTAACTTACTAAGTAATTGCGTTTTATTAAACACATAAGTGTAGAGAGTAATGTACGTTGAATCGCATTACAATCACAAATTCTGTGACTAGCTTTCATAAACATATCATAATAAATATAATATATCCACACGCCTCAATTTACTCACATTAGAGTATATTATGCTACTACTATAATAAAATTTCTTATGAGTAACAACTAAATTATTGTCACTAAAATTTACATTTACGTCACTAATTATATTTTGTGACATAAAATTTAATGTTAGAACGACCGTTATCATATCTATCACTAAATGTCAAAAGTCAAGATGTATTTATTTTCTTCTAGTATAGTTAAAGATATAGTGACGATAATAAATAATGTCATCTTTTATCTTATGTTCAACGAAAATTAATTTTATATAATATGATATATTTTATTATTATTTTCTTATGATGTGGCATATTTATAATTCACTTGACTTGTTACTCGCTTTGACTCGTTTTTCACCTTTTGTTTTTCGAGTTCCTCGACAGGTTCAGTAAAATCAGTCTGGTAAATCTCAGTCACTGCGGCTTTATGGAGTGTGTGATTAGCTAGCAATGAAATGGTATTCGAAAATAAAGCTACAACTCAAAAGCTAGCAACTCTTGTTCAATGTCAAGATGAGGGCACTTATCTGGATTAAAGCAATAAACGATAATATACTCGTGTATGAAGCTGATTGGTGGAAATCCCGTTGATTGTTTAATTGCCAAGAATTCACAGCTGGTGTGGTACCCTCCTACTGGAGGTTGCTTGAAATTTAATGTGGATGGAGCCTTTAAAGATTCGGCAGCAGGTTGTGGAGGCGTTTTGAGATCGTGGAAAGGAGATGTTAAAGCATTGTTCTCAGGTCATGTTGCTCCTATGAATTCTGACTTTGCGAAATTGGTGGCAGTAAAAACTGCTCTGATGATGTTCTTGTAAATTGGTTAGCTTGAAAATTTTAGGTTGATAATCGAATCAGACTCCCAAGTTGCGTTGAAGTGGGTTGAAAATCTGTCATTGAGGCCATGGAGGTAGTGAGATTTGTTCGAGAAAATTGATAAGTCATCAATTCAATTTTCAAGGGTGAAAGTCATTTATGTCCCAAGAGAAGGTAATGGGTTAGCTAATCAACTAGCGAAACAAGGTTTACTTCGCTTCGAGCTGTTCAAAGCGTGGTCAGAATAGTAGGCATCGAGTGGCCGCCTTGAGATTGTGGAGCAGGTTTTGTATGTGCGTATTAATGCTAATTGCTTTAGGGTGTGGTTGTTAGAAGTTTTTTATTCTGTGCTCGTGAGATAGCCCTGTGATTATTTATCAGATTCTATTAGCATTTGTAGGTGTCATGTGGTACAGGGGTATGGCATGTTGTTTTCTGGTGTTGGTCATTTGTACCTTAATGGGGTGCACTCTTTTCCTCCACTTTGATTAGGAGGTTTTTAATGAGGTCCCTATCTTGATCATTTATCATTAATAAAATATAATTTGCTGAGCAATATATATATATATATATATATATATATATATATATATATATATATTTGATTATTAACGACATAATATTTTATCTTAGTCTTTTTTTATTTTTTTAGATACTTAAAAGAAAAAAAGTTAAATTCATTAAGATAAATAAAACTTTTATTTTATATACATAAAAAAATTGCAATCAAATAACAGAAACTATTTTTCCTTCCAAAGAAATTGTAATAACAGAGACTATTTTTTTATGACCTCTCTAGGCTTATAACTAAATTGCATTGCAGCTCCGAAATCATGCAGCTGTAATATTGGGCTACCAATCAGGCCTAATAATACATTCTAATGGAAAAGCCTGTTAGTATTTGATATATATAGACAATTTCATAACAGTACGAACCCCAGTGATCTCGGTGATAAAAGAATTGTTGTTATTTTTTTAGGTCTCAGATTCGAGCATCAAGAATACCATGGGTATGAGCGTTCAATGTCAAATGGTTGAGAGTTATTTTTGAGCAAATTTTACCTTGTACTTACTTCAAATTATAAATAATAATAATAATAATTTTATAACATGATAGAATTTATGTATGATAAGACTTGAATAAGAAAAAACATGAAATGAAAGCTATGTTTATTATATGTGTATAACTATAATCAAAATCAACAGATACAATGTATAAATAGAATTGCAATTATAATCAATGCATATTTTTATAATTACGACTGAAAAAAATTATTATAAAATTACAATGAATTACAATGCACAAACAAATGAACTAATAATGATAATGTGTTTAGACTTAAACCAAAAAATAAATCTAAACAGGACTTGCATATTGTAAAACCTAAACCAAAATAAATTCTTAACATATCATTCATCGCATCACCAGCAAACACTAACTGTTTAATAACTAAAATAAGATGGAACTTTTTTTAACAAGATATGGAAATCAGCTTAATGAATTGATGCGTGATTTTTAAATTAATTTGACCAACCTGACTTTTAAGTTGTAATTAAAGCGGTCGTGATTAGCCAGGTCCAAACACTTTCCTTTGACTACTTTTAATCCTACAGCCATATCTAAATTTCATATAATAATCTGAAAATCTGCTCCTATATCTATTAATTATACTTGACAGCGGCTTTGCCCTGGCTTAAGGTGACATTTGATCCTGAAATTGTTAAAAGCAATAATAATTAAATCTGATAATCGTATCGTCCGCACGAGTGGGAAAACTTGTGGGGTAGTGTTTAATCCTTAATTAATTCATAATTATTTAGTTTTGATGAGACGGATTCTGTTTGTTACAGTCTAGGCAAAACCTAATAACAAGTGCTCTGTGATTGTTAACACTTTATAGAGACAGCATTTTTAAGGAAAATTCAACGTTGAAATGTGATTGATTTCATCGACAAACAAAAAAGGTCTTCCCAAAATTTGTGGGAACGATGTTACTTGAAGTTGCTACAAGATTTATCATAATCTTAATAATAAATCAACTTGTTTATTATAATTTAGCATAAGTGAATCCATTCAAGCAACTTCAATGGTAAAAGGGACTAAAGGAGTGTTGTTTTCCTTAGAGTTTATGAGATCGAATAATGGTGTCTGTAGTGTGTGTACACAATATTATTGATTAAGAAAATTTTTGAACAAATATTATTTTTTTAATCAGAAACGAATCCATGTTATAGGTGAGAGAGGCAATGGCCCCCCAAACTTTGATGGTCTAATTACCTCTTAAACCACTAGTGGTTTTGAAACCATTATAATTAAGACCTTGCCCCTCCTGAAATTTCCTAGTATAATTATTTTTTAAGACACTTTCATTTTTAAAATTAATAGAATTAAGTCTTAATTCCAAATTTATCTGATTTAATTATATTTTAAGACATCTAAAATTTAAAATTAATGAAATTGAACTCTTAATCTTTTAATTTTTATGGTTTAATTATTTTTTAGGATTTTTTTAAATTAAATAACTTATCTCTCTCATAGTTTAATTATGGCTCTGTTATTGATTATAATCATCCTAAAATATTCATAAAAAAAATTTATGCATACATTAGTATCATTTAAGTAGTGTGCTTTTTTATAATCATTTTGATTAGTAACAACCTTTTTTCTTCTTTAAATAGTTATAAAAAGTGTTGAATTTAAAATAAACCTGCGAATTAATCAATATTATTAAAGTCAAATTCAATCAACTAATTGAATATATCATACCAAGAACTAGTGTTTTAACCATTGGAACTAGACACTTGGTGTAGGATAAAATATTGTTACATAATAATTTTTTAACTTTCTTTATAATTAATAATATAAAAAATTTACCATATTTCATTATTTTATGGAAATCATGTCATTACTTTAATAAAATATTTAAATAAACCAGGATAAATTATTATTAAATACGTTGATTTCAATTTTTTATGTATTGTAATAATAATATAACTAATCTAATTAATACTCAATCGACAAGTAAAAGAACTTTCAATCGTTCATATATTATTAAATAGAATATTATAACTATTATAATAAAAAATATTAAATTGATTTGAAACTTTATTTAAATAATAAATATAATTATACTATTAAAAATTAAACCATGAAAATATTATTAAAAAATATAAAAAACTAGTTTACTTATACATAAAGAGGGGTGAGAAAGATACAACAGCTACAAAGGAAGATGTTCATTTTTATTTAATGTACCTTTAAATAGGAAGATGTTCATTTTTAGACTCGACTCGATTAGTTCGAACACTCACCCTCATATCACGTTATCAAACTAACATGAGTTAATATTTGCTGACCAAAATATAACAATCGAACGTATAAGTGATTGAAATATATAGTTTCAAAATTAATAAGCAAAAGTATATAAAATTTAAAAGAAAAGTGATCAATATGATAGTTTATCCAAATAATAATATTATTCTTTAAAAAGTTGTATAAACACAAAAAATCAACTTAAAATACTAGTTGTGGTATGACCGTATGAGCGAACGTTACATTTAGATGATGCAAGCGAACGGCGCGTGGGTCCCGTTTGGAAAATGAGGTAATCTTTTACCAGGCCGTTACGTTTTGAGAAACGGACTCTACGTGGCAGCCAGTCAAGCATTTTAAATTTTAATGGCTGACGCCAAATGCTTTGAACGCCGAAATTGAGTTTTGACCTTCTAATCGCCTTTGCTTCTTTCTTCAACACAACTCTCACTTTTATGCTCGTATACCTAAAGCGTGAGGTCAATAGTCATTGCTATTCAGGTCGGTTTCTTTTTTATCCTTTCCATTTATTAATGGCCTTATATCATAAATAAGTATTATGTCATGTTTTTAAGTACTTAATTTTTTTTATTAAAATAAGTATTTAATTTTTTTTATTAAAATAAGTATTTAATTTTTTTGGAAAAATAGGTATTTAAAATATTTTGATCAAAATAAATATTTTAAAATAAATACTTAAAGTATTTATTCTTTTATCTAATTACATAAAGTATTATTTAAATAATATTACATGTTAACGTTTTTTTAAATTGATGAAAAATATTAAATACTTTAGGTACTTATTTCAATCAAAGAATACTTTAGATACTTATTTTGAAAAAAATAATTCTAGATATGACAAAAATTATTTTAAACACGTATATAAAAAATATAATATACTTTAGGTACTTATTTATAATATAAGTCTTATTAATAATATAAAATAAACGATAAATTCTATTATTAATTCTTACATTATCTTATCATTGTATGCATAAATTATATAATATATATTTAGTTTTAGGTATAATTTCAAAATTAGCTCTCAACATTTATCAAAATAGTTATTTTAGCCGTTAGTTTTTGGAGTATTTTCGGTCAAAATTTTATTATAGGGTAAAAAGATTTTTAATGTTTGACTAAATAATCGCTTGGACTCTTATTCTTTTTTTCCTATAATATTTTGACCATTTACATTTCATTTTAGAGTAAGAAAGCTCATATTTTGAAGTGTTAATCATTTGTTAACTAACAGTTTTCATCCGGATATATATTTTCTCCGAAAATTAAACATTAGAAGTCAAAATACTCTTAAAAAATAAGTCAAAGTGAGAGTATTTAATTAAAAATTAAGGATATTTTTTGACATTATACGCTAATTTTATTATTAGCCATTTCACTATATATAAGTCATGTATTTATTTTTTATATTTTAATTTAATAAATGATATTTCAAACTCGTATATAAACAATACAACAAAAGCTGAGGATTTATGATAATTCAAGATGACAATCACTGTTTCTATTTCATGAGGTCCCGAGTTCGAGTATTATGAATGTCAGAAGTATAATATTAAATATTCATGATTGAAAATTATTTTTGAAGAGACACTATTATTTATTAAATTAAATTAATAGTAAGAAAAAGATGACAGAAGATCAGCGTTGTTGTTTGTCATGATCAAATTTATTAAGCTCATCAGCATTTTTCATTTTCTGATGTTTTGTTGATGCAAGCTTAACTGACATCTAAACCCAGCAGCCAAGTATATATCTAAATCTATTATGCGTAAGAAATTTAATTTGGTAGCGTAATTCAGGCAGTGGTGTGGTGTCATTTCCATGGCTAAAAGTAACCTTAACACAGCCCAAATTCAGAAATAATTTAATATATTTATCTATTAAAGGAGATTTGGGTTTTTTAGTAGAAAACCCCATTTCATTTACTATATTTAGCCCTTTAATTGGAAATAAACCTGTGGGTGGGGTAAATCAATTAACCAAGTCATCCTCCATAATTCAGTGGATTTATTTTGGCTTATTTCACACAAAAGGAAACCTATACTGAAATTATTAGTCTTTTCAATTGGAGTCTTTTGCCCTCTGCGAAGCTTAAAACACGCTGTGGCACATATAGACAGTCTCTAATGACACGTTTCGACTTCTAAAGTCTTGCAACATAGATTCAGATTTTACTTCTTTTCTCTACTAATACGTTTGGATGGTTTTAAGATTTACGACTCAAAATATTATGAAGAATATAATAATTTTAGTTGCAATCGATTTTTGTTGTTTTTTTTATATATTAATAAGTTATATTTTTAACTCTTCCTATTACGTGCTATTAACATATATTTTGGTATTAAATTTTATAATATCAACATTACTACAACAATAGTTTTGTGAGTTTATACTTGAAAATATTTAAATATTTTTTTAAATCATCAAACGGGTATATATTTTAAATAAAATAATTAAAAATTATATATAAATTTTAATTAATCTAGAGTGAATACAAGATAATATTTATTTAAAGATTTTCAATCATTTGACATTAAACGCTCGTACACCCATGATACTCGAACTTGAAACCTCAAGGAATAACAAAATTCCTTGATCATTAAGACTGCTTGATTCGTGAAAAAATTATATATAATTTGAACTTATTTTGTTTTATATCGGTAGCTTGAATAATTTTTTATATATTTAATTTCACATACGTTTAGGTGTGAAAATGTAGTATATAATACAAGTATTTTTGTGAAAGGAATATAAAATACAAGTTGAAAGTTGAGGAAGAGGAGTTACGGCATGTGTTTTGTTAGAAAATTCACGAGTTAAAAAGGGTGGTAAGCTTATCGCATGTTTGCTTCACGCAAACAGCTAAATAGGGGTGGAGTTTGCTTCCTCGCGTGGCTTTAAAGACTTTCTTCTATTAATTGTTTTAAATCCTCCCATTAAAATAATCCTCACCACCCACCAAACCCACACTCCCTAATAAAGCACACACCTCTTCTTATTCTCCTCCTTTGCCTTTTTCGTTTTCACAACATTAATCCCTAATCATGTACCTCTTCTAGTACTTCAAGATCCGATCAAAACTGCAGACATGAGTTCAAACCCTAGCAGCAGTGGTGGCAGTGTAGGCGGTGGTGGCAATTGCAGTGGTAGTGCTGGCGGCGGAGGTGGAGGAGGACCTTGTGGTGCTTGCAAGTTTTTGAGAAGGAAATGTGTTCCGGGTTGTATATTCGCACCTTATTTTGACTCGGAGCAAGGTGCAGCCCATTTTGCAGCGGTTCATAAGGTTTTCGGTGCAAGCAATGTATCGAAGCTGCTTCTTCATATTCCGGTTCACAGACGACTTGATGCGGTGGTCACCATATGTTTCGAGGCTCAAGCTCGGCTTAGAGATCCTGTTTATGGCTGCGTTGCTCATATCTTTGCTCTTCAACAACAGGTACATACAAGCCCAAAACCATCTTTTGTTCAGCTTTGTCATTGTTTTTGTCTCTTTCAGCAGGACACAGTTGGTTTGGTTTTTCCACTTTCTGATCTTCTTTGTCAAGTAAATTCAGGAACCCTGAAATTTCATTTTTCAAGTAAAAATCCTGTCTTTATTCAGTGAATTGTGTTTCTCAAAGAATCAAAGCATTCTTTTTTTGACAAAATAACACCCAAATCTGATTTCACACCATCTTAAAAAGGCCTTGTTGTACGGTCAGATAATACAAATACAAGGATGGGGTAGGGTTAGCTGTTTGGGGTGCAGGTTTTTGCATTTCCCTGAAATCTAGAAAAAAAAATTTATTATCATTTTTAATTAACAAATCATTTGGTCGGCGAGCGGTTACCTCAAAGGAGAGGTCAGGTTGTGGAAATTATGCAGTTTACAGGTATTAAGGAAATGGTTGGATTTGTTTTGTTGGGTTTTCATTGCCAGTTTTCTTGTTCTTGCAAGCATGGCTGTATGGAAATTCAGTGTTAACCAAGTGTTATTAAACATTGGTTGAAGCTGATATCTATAAACACGTTTATTAGGGTTTCAATAATATTTTTTTTATTTAAAGGTACACATTAAGCAAACCCTATAATTTATTTTTATCTCTTATATGGTTAATACTCAAAATTCGTGAATAATTCTTTATTTAAAATTTGAATCTGAATTATAGTGTTGAGTTTAAACTCTATAACTATTTAATTTTTTTAAAAAGATTTTTAAAGAGTTATAAAAATTTTATTGTCCCACTCTGTGATTAATTATTATTTATCAAATATAAATTACTATTGATACATAGAACGAAAAAGATTACATGAATCCCATTAGTAAAGAAAAAAATGTGAATATAAAAATATTGTGACAGTTTCTTTTTAACTTCATTTGTGTCCTTGTATGATAAAAGATATAGATATATATATATATATATATAATTATATTTTGTAAAACTTTTTAATTTTACATTGATATAAGATTATTAGATGAATGAAAATAGATAATTGAGATTAACGGTAAGAAATGAGAAAATATTCACTGAAAAAAATTAGAAGTTAATCTTAACCTTTTTATTTTTATTCATTAAATAATCCTAAACCAATATAAAACTTAAAAAAATTTATATTATGTGAGTGGATCTTAATCTATATATATAATGCAAAGGATAAAGCCTCTAGCTTCTCCGGAGTTGCGATCGTTTCTTCATTCCTTTTGGTGGTAATAATATTAACATAAACTTCTATTATTGTTTTATATATTTTTGGAAATTGCTGGGCAGGTGGTGAATTTGCAAGCAGAACTATCGTACTTACAAGCTCATTTATCTACACTAGAGCTTCCATCGCCGCCACCTCCACCACCGCCACAAACACTAATTGCACCACCTCCTCTTTCAATATCAGACCTCCCATCAGCCTCTTCAGTGCCAGCCACGTACGACTTATCTTCACTTTTCGAACCTATGGTAACGCAAAGTACTTCATGGGCCATGCAGCAAAGGCAAATCGATCCACGCCAATTTGGAGGGACCGGCGGCGATCTTCAAGCTTTGGCTCGTGAGCTCCTCCATAGACAAGGGTCTCCGCAACTGCCATGCACTGATGCTTCACCGTCGGCGTCACCATCACCACCGCAATCTCTCTCCAAATGAGACCTAGACTTTCCTTTATTATTATATGCTTGCCTTGAAGTATGTTATAATGCATTTAATTTTCAGTGTTATATTTCATTAGGCAAGTAATCGAAATAACTAATCTTGTTCTTTTCTTCTTCTATATTTGTTTGTTTTCTCGTCTTTCTTAATATCCCATTTTTGATATATGTGAAATTCAAATTAGTTTCTTTGTGGATACGCGTTTTTCGATCACTGATTTCCAGCTATTTTACCTTCCTCAAGAGGTTCATGCTAATTTGCCCTATTTCTATTGCACTTGTATTATTAAGAAACTTTAATAGCATTACCGCGTTAATAACTAAGGAATATCATAGATATTTCCAAACCTCAACCCCTCACACACACACAACCCCCAACCCCAACCAAAGCAACCCGACAGATACAAGGATATAAACGTTCACTGTATTCATCACATATTTATCAAAAAGCAACATAATTTTAATTAGTAGAATATATGATTTTTAATCATTTTGAAAAAAGTGTTCTAATAAAGTTTGAATGATAAAATATAACTCGTCAACTCGAATTTTTATAATTCAATTCAACTCAACTCGATCGAATACTCACTCTCAATTTCTCCTTCATTTTAGGTAGTCTATTTTGACAAAATTTTGACAAAATTTGAATCACATGCTCATCTACCACCTATGTTACACTGATACAGGTATGAGGATAGATACGAGGATGGGTACGGGACGAGAAACAATAATTTCTAAAATCATAGGGTATGGGTACAATAATATAAGTTAAATTTTAAAATTTTAAAAGACATAAACAAGTCATAAATATTCATTAAAGTTCATAAGGATTGAAATTCTTTGATAAAAGACGAAGATTGTAGTGGATGTAAATCAAATCTTCAACACGACTTGGATTTAACTTATTCCTCATAAGTGAGTGGACGAAGGAATAAATATTCCAATTTTTTTCACAACAAGATGATGAAGTAGATTGTCGAAGCACTTTAAAAGTCCATAATTGGAGCAATGGAATTTCAGTATCAAAGTTAGTCTATCAACTTTTCGAATCCGAAGAATACCACTTTGTAAGAGAAATTAAATCTAAATTTAAAAACAAAATAATATCCTAATTCATCTATATCTCTTTTTATTATTTAAATCCTAAAAATATCCTAAGTACACGAGTTAAGATCAAATATCGTTTAGGATGCGTCCGTAAAAATCTCTCCGACGTACCCAATTAATTTTAGTTGTATCCTATAAATATGGGACATCCCAATACGTACCCAAGTTGTACTCGTCCCATAACTATATTGAGGACATATCGGGTACTTGGTACAACACTGAGTTGTTGTACCCGTGCTACATAGTCTACCACTATAGAATATCTATGCAACTTCAATTTTTATTGTTGACAACTAATTTATTCTTTTTGTAATTTAATCTCTCAACTTTATATTTTATTTAATTTTGACTTATTACTATTTTTTTAAAAATTCTTTATTTCTATCCATTCATTGACTCCTTTATATTCACATCAATATTTTATCCCTTAAATATATTCTTAAAAAAATTATAAATATATATTATACTTTGTCTCTGGAATACGTAAGATCATTTTTCAAAGGATATAAAGAAACGACATATAAATGGAACAAGATGACTTGTCCTTGCAACAGAAGCAGTCTGTGAACTCTAATAGAATATTAGATTTGGACATTATCTTGAATATTGTGGTATGCAAGCGTGATGAAGACCAGCACATGGAGACTAGTAATGAACTTATCAGGCACATGCAAGAACAATTTAAAGAGAAAGCATGCAAATCTGGGTAGAATATAGGGTTATATTTCTTTAGTTTGTGTTGAGTTACTACTCTTCAACTGAACACAAGTATATTCATCAACACAAGCATGCCTTGAGCTGCTCATTATGCAGGCTCTTTATACGAGAATTGCAAGCAGTTACTGCCACACTAACAACCTAACTAATTGCTAACAGACTCCAAACAACTGCTGACTCAACTAACTATTATTTACACAGTTTACACAATTTGCACGTATACAACACACTCCTACGTGCATGTATATACCTCTAATATTTCCCCTACTTCTTCTTCTTTTGTTCTTTTTCTTGATCACTCTATTACAACATGCTCTAAAAACTAATTACAACTAATTTCTAACATTTAACCTTCTTGATGAAAAGATGAACAATTGAATCGAAAGTGCCGATGTTTCCTACCGTTCACTTGAATCGAAAGTGCCAATGCTTCCTTTCGTTCTTCTTGATTCGAAAGTGTCGATGCTTCCTTTCGTTCACTTGAATCGAAAGTGCCAATGCTTCCTTTCTTTCTTCTTATTCACCTTCATTTCTTTCTTCTTCATCCTCTTTTACAAGATTCCTTGACATATATTTTTTTCTTGGACACTTGGCTGTGAAGCTTTCTCCCATGACACCTTGGAAATCCACATATGCTGGAAGGTGTTGAGTGATGCCACATGCCATGATTCTCATTTCTTATAGCTTCAGCAGAAATGTTACACTGAGTTGGATAATGGAAATGCGTCACTCCAGTATTCCAAGGAGCTGATGATGTTGTTGACATATGTAGAGTAGGATTTTCAGCGGGCGGTCGAGGCCTTTTGTTCTTAGCTGCATTCGGTTGAGCCAGAGCTGGTGGAATTGAAGCAACAAAGGGTTCTATCTCCCATGGTGAAACCCTGTCAGACCTCTGAATGGAGGCAGGATCATCCCATTATACCTTCAATGAACTCCATTTTGAATCTTTCCGGTGAGGAGAAAAATCTTCAAGTCCAACAATTATTCCAGAAAACCTTCTCTCAGGAGAATCTTCCCCTTCAAATCTCATCTTAAATCTCATGCCAACTGCAAACTTACCATTAAGGGCATCTAAATATTTGTTCAACCCAATGATGAACTGACTTGTCTTTGGCTTCACCCGAGAAGGAGAGATCACCAGTTCAGTTGGAGGCTGGTAATTGGTCCGGTCCCTGAATGTCTCCGATTTCTTCAACGACGCCGTTGAATCGGACAACGCCTCCACGTTGATATCACGGCCGTGATTCTCCCACGTGTTCGATTTCTTCAAATGCCTAGTCAACGGCATTGATTTCCCTTCCGTTATCATCTTCCACGTGTTCTCCAGCATCTCGTGGCGTTTGGGTTTCGCCACCCTCAATGCTCGACCACCTTCAGGACTGGCTTTGACGGGTTTCCGGTGACTGAATCTAGAGGAAGCCTGTGGTTTCTCTAGAAGAAACAGAGCATCCGATGGAATTTCTGACGAATCCATTCTCCTCGGAGGAATCCACTCCGATTTCAAGATACCAAACTCGTCACTAACCGCTACATTGGTCTCCGCCTCAAAAACCGTTGTTTCCACCTCTTGTACTCTCTCCTTCAGCTCGTACGCGACCGGTTTATCTATGCCGAAATCAAAGCCGCTCTTCATCTCGTGCTCCACCGCTGGCGGTTGATCCACATAGATCTTCAATCTCGGCTGCTGTTGCATCTGCTCGGTCTATTCGCTCTCGCCGCTGTTTTGATGAAACCGTGAAGATGCTTTAACGATAACATCAAGAAAACAGGAGGCTCCAGGAACTTATGGCGATTGATACCATGTTGAGTTACAACTCTTCAACTGAACACAAGCATGCCTTGAGCTGCTCATTATGCAGGCTCTTTATACAAGAATTGCAGGCAGTTACTGCCACACTAACAGCCTAACTAACTGCTAACAGACTCCTAACAACTGCTGACTCAGCTAACTATTATTTACACAGTTTACACAATTTGCACGTATACAACACACTCCTACGTGCATGTATATACCTCTAATAGTTTGGTCTCTACTTGATTAAATATTTAATAAATTATTGTATTTTTTAATTTAAATATTTATTTTTATATGAACCAAAATACTATTAGACCCAAATTTATTAAATATATCCAGCCCCTTTAGGCCTAAAGGTTAGTATTTGTTTCATTTGTACTGGATATATAGTTAGTAACCATTTTTTTACTGAAATTTTCTATTTAATGTACAATTTTGTGATTTTCTCCTGTATCTAACCCCTTTCAAATGCTTGTAATTTGGCGAACTATGAAATGCAGTATGTTCACATCAGTGATCATATTTAATTGTAAATTTGGTTTAGATATGGTAATGAATGGTTGACGTGCTCAACCTCTTTCCAAGAGGAATGTCATTAGTGCAAATTTGCCGGTTTTTAACTGAATTTGGTTTCCTCTCATGTACGTTGTTGAATAGAAACTTTATTGTAAGTGGCCTTCCTGTTTTAAATAAAAAGTGGCCAGGAAGATTTCAGTACGGTGCTGCTGCTGTGATAAGGGGCTCATATGATGGTGCCGGTATTGGAGGTGATTTACCTGGGGCGGTCACATCTGAACAGATGGACAATTTAGTCTCTAACCTCAACATGCTAGAACAGGTTGGAATCTCAGAAATGAATCGTTTATTCACACTTGGTCAAAAATTGAAATGCATTTCCCCTTGTTGGGTGGTATGGAATAATGAAGTACTTGGTCTAATTTTATACATCCAAATTTTCTTGAGATTACATAGTTACTTTTCTCTTCAAACTTTATAAATGCATTTTGTTCTGACCGTAACTCCCATTGCATTTTGAATCGTCGAAAGGGTGAAGATGGAGAGAGTGAGAGAAGCATGGTTCTGGACATATATAATACTTATTTTTAGAAAAAGTAGTGAGGGAAGTATGGAGAGAGTGAAGATGGAAGAGAAATGACATTTTGAGCAATGAGTATGGTCAAATGATGTCAAAAAATATTATGTTTCTTGATTACTTTATTGTCTTATTGTCTGCACGATTTTCTTGGTGATGAAGTTGTGTTCACTTCATAGCTTATTTCTATATCAGGCACAATACATTTCAATAATTTAGATCATATTCATATGAACAGTGCCAAGCATGTTTCCATGCTTATGTCTTCCTTTGATAAACTAGCGTTGCTTAATCCATCTACTAGAATAGATACTTCCCTTTATTATGGGGTTTCTTGGACTTCTTCAGTATCTCACGCTCCCTCACTTGGATATTGTATTTGTTGTTAATTGGTTGTCACAAATATGTATGGTTATGTTTCTACCCACTGGATAGCAGCTAAGTGAGTTATTTGTTACCTCAAGGGTACCTTGTGTCATAAACTACTTCTTTGCTTGATCTTACAACCTTTATTGATGTAAAATAGGGCGGATCGTATACATATGTAGATTCACCACTGTTTGTGTCATTTATCTTGGTTTTAGTGTTATCTCATAGAAATCAGTTTGTCAAAAAATTATCTCTCGTTCATCTATAAAAGTTGAATATCGTGCCTTGACAAATGCAACAATTAGGAGTGTAGATGAATCGAGCTTTAACGAAAAAGATTATGTTTTATTTCGTTTATTTATTTTTTAAGACGTTCGTGTTCGGTTTGTGATCATTTAAATTTTTAATATAGTGTTCATGTTCATTTATTAATTTTTGAAGGTGTTTGTGTTTGTTTATTTATTGTTCGTGAACATGTTCATTTAGTGTTCACGAACTGTTCATTAAGCGTTCGTTTAGTGTTCATTTATTGTTAGTTTATATATTCAAGTTTTAGTTTTACCCTTTCATTTGTAAAGTTAAAGAAAAATGATAAAATTACACCACTAGTGATAACTCCTTATAATCCATAATTTAAATTTTAACTTTTATAATGTATATAATTTAGTCTCTATTTTCACCAATATTTTAAATGTAAAAAAATAAAAAGGAAAGGAGAATCGGGTAAACGAGTTTGTTCATAAACATAAATGAACGAGTCGATAAACGAGTTTATTCATGAACATAAACGAACCAAACACACATTTGTTCGTGTTTGTTAGTTTATTAAATTAACATATTTTTTTTGTTCATACTCGTTTATTTAACATAAAGAATAGCTTATCAAAAAATTAATCGGCTTTGCAGCAGTTTTCTTCCCACAATATTCCTTTGCATTAAGGGAGTGTTTGGTTCAAGGATTGTGGGATTCTCATGGGATGAGAATCCCACATTCTCATGTTTGGTTGGCCGAGAATCTCATTCCCGGTAATGTTTTATTACCAATAGTAGATTTTTTGGGGTATATTACCGGGAATGTCATTACCTCCCTTCCCTTAGGTATTGTAACATTACCGGCGTTTTGGACTAAAATGCCCTTAAATTTTTATTTTTTTTTCAAAAATATCATTCTTCTGTCATTGAATAATAAAAATTCTACGAATGTTAAATTACAAATTTATCCTTAAATTATTTTAGATTTACAAAAAAAAAGTCTATAATTAAAATTTTATATGAAGTTCAGGGGTTAAAAAATTTTGTACCCTTTCATTAAACCTTTTTTATATTTTTAATTTTGTAAAAAAAATTATATAAATATTATGAATTTAATTTTTTAAAGAAAATATTTAAATATTTTACAATTTGTAATATTATACAAATATATAATAAGGACAATTTGGTTAAATATACATCCCAATAATCTTTTATTCCTTTAACCAAACAAGGTAATCTTATATTCCTGCTAAACCAACCAAACACAAAATACAACATTCCCAGTAATTCTATTCCCTGATAATCTTTTATTCACATTGGTAATCTTACATTCCGTGAACCAAATGCACCCTAAGAGTGCTGGCAGTGACTTTTCCGACCACTTCCCTGCCATTTCTTTCCTTCTTGTTGTTACTTTTCCGTTAATTGTAGTTTGATTTTCTTAAATTTTAGTCATATTTTATCATATTTAAAATAATGTGTTCACTTTGCCCTTTCTCTGGTAAAGGGTATCATGACTATCAGTGTTTTTAGACTTTTAGTGCAGGTTTATTCTATTGGTCTTCTTCTTGGTTTGTGGTTCTATGAAATTTATTGGTTGCTTGCTTTCCAGATGTGTGGTTTCTTCGTTCGTTTGTATGTGGTATTTCAATGGTTATCCGATATATGTGTCGGATGAGATTACAGTTAAAGGAGGATTAGTTTTTCATTCATCTCCTATGGATATTTTTTAAGTTTTTCTTCTTTATGTTAGGTGCTCGAGAATGTTGGAGTGCTTTGTTTTTTATGTAGTTACCTCAACTGTTTAAGCTTTTGTTCATTAGACTATCGTGCCTTGACAAATGCAACTCGGGGTTGTGAGGCCAGTTTTCAGGTTGCCATATGTACCTCTTCCATTGGAAAAGAGGGTAGAATTTGTTAATCTGGTCGAGGAAATTGGGCGGGAGAATTTTGTAGGAAAAAAACAAGTTCAAGTTTTTGATGACGACGACTTCATCTTGGTTAGGCGGTATTAGTTATTGTCAATGTTCAGAGAACTCGGGAGTCTAGTATGGCTATCGTGTCTCTTTCGAGTTTGCAAGTTTAATTTTCGTTTACAAAAATTACAAATAAAGTTCTCTAATTGCAGAGTTGCAGTTGCAGGCTAATATTTTGTTTGTTTGTTTATTTATTTTAAATTTGTTCAGGTTTGGTTTGTTTTTATTTAAAAAATTCCAAAGAGTTGGTGTTTATTCATTCAAAATCATGTCCTCGTCTTTATTTTTTTAATTTAAACGAATTTGTTTAATTTTAGCCAAGTTGACGATGAAGCGGATATTTGATTTTGAAGGTAGATAATTAAAGATGTTTACTGACAAAAAAGCTTTATTCATAAACAATAGTTTAACAAGTGTAAACAATCAAACCAGTCGTATATTTTTTTATTTTTAAATATAAAATTATCAAAAATAAATGTTAATAATTATATTATAAATAAGTAAAACGAGGACACAGGTTAATAATCAAATAAGATACAAGTTCTAGTTAATGAATACCTTTAAGCAATTCATAAACGATTATAAATTTATTTGTTTATGAATGTAAATAAATTGAAGCCCTAAATCCAGAGCATCAAAATATTTTGTCCGATGCATAGGCTAGTCTAATATTTGTAATGATTAATTTTGTAACTATTGACGGGTTAAGATCTAGTACACTACTATTTATGTTTCATGTTCTAAATGAATTTATTTCTAATACATGTTTAGTACTACCTACTTGAGAATAAAGTTGATCACAATTGTGAAGGGAAGACTAGCCAGCGAGTGGATTGGCATGGATTGTCACACGATTGAGCCTTATCTCTGCAAGTGGCCGATCACCTGCTCCTGTTTGAGTCTGCATCAACAAAATAGCGTTCAGTCATGCTAAACAAGCAATTGCAGGTTACCGCTGCAACGCAAGATTCCACTAACACATACACAACGCTGTACAATTTTAGTGAGACTGAGATTGAAAGAGAAGAGATTGTTTCCAGAAAACTATTCACTTCAGATTCATGTTGAATGCCTTACTTTGGGGGTACCTCAGCTCTTTAAATATAATCTAGAATTTTCCCTACCCTCCTTTGAAATCCCAAAATCATATGTGGAGATAAAGCAATCCAGCATGGACTTGATACAATTTTTATAGCAAATGATGTAATAGGCCAAAAACAAGACCAAGGTTGATTACACTGACTTGCGGTGAAATATCAACACACAAAGCCATGTGGACAAAGAAAGAGTGTGCATGAAGAACTAAATCCAAACATAATTGTGTCCAAGACATTCTAAATCAAAGTGGACTAAGCAGGGAAATATGACTATATGCTAGCACAACATACCTTTTCCATGATATCCAGCACTTCAAAACCATGGATAACCTTGCCAAACACAGTGTACAATCCATTGAGATGTGGCTGCTTTGCATATGTTATGAAGAATTGGCTCCCATTAGTATTAGGACCACTGTTAGCCATTGACAGTATACCCCTCGCATTATGCTGTAAGGTAGTAAAGTTTTGTAAAAAAAAAAAGAGCATGTCTACATTCAAAACTAACGAGCAACTCAATATACGGCAGGAGTTAAAATATTACATCTTGTAACAGGAGATTGACACTAAGCTTTAGTTGCACACTTTCACATAAAAAGCACATAAACTCAAAGAGCTTGAAAAGCACAACTCTACCAAAACACTGGGCAGATAGACAAAGATGTGTAGTTATGATGATTCCAATATAGAACGAGATGAAGGGTGGGAGGGTTATAGAAACCAAAATTTCATACTCAAATAGCATGTCAGCTAAACAAGCTAAATGATAAATAACACAAACCAGCTTTTCTAGGTTCCATTCCCTCGGTAAGGTTAAAACCTGGACTTCAAGCATAATGGCAAAGCATGGTCTTTTCAAAAGAAAGCAAACTGATATTCTTAATCAGCAGAAGCAAACAAGAAAGAAGTGTTCTTTTTTTTGTGCCCTTCCCCCCACTCTTAATGGCTAAAAGTTGTTGACAAAATTTCTTAAAGCATTTTGAGAGATTGCATGTAACATCCCAAAATACGGGTTAATGACTAAATTGTAAAACTTCAGAATTTGGTGATTAAAATATAATAATTGGATAATTCAATGATTTATCTGGAAGGATTGTTAGTAATTATTAAAAGAATTAAAGGGCAAAATGATCATTTAACCATTAAATGATTAAATTGTATTATGTTGAGGATATGGATGGGGGAAAGGGATAAGAAGAATATCTCTTCTCCTCTTTGTTCTTCCATACGAGAGAAAGCCACAGCAAAGGTGAGTTTTCTATTTTCTTGGTTATTTGTTGTTTTAAAAGTTGGGTTATGATCACTATATGATAATTAAGCTTAAGAAAAGCTTAATTTGTTCTAAAACAAAAAGATGAAGAAATTATAAGAGATTTAAGAAAACGAGTTTTTATATGAAATCATAGAAAAGAGTTGATAAGTTGAATTTGAAGTTAAATTTAACTTGTCATCATGCTAATTAAGGAATATGAAGTGTTAGAATGGTATTTAGAACATATTGAAATTTGAGTATGATTCTTGAATTACATATGAAGGATAGGATTTTGAAATTATAGATGATTTTCATGGATATAAGTTGGTTTAAGTAATGGTAGTTGAGTTTAATGACATGATAGGGGTTTAAAATAGAAGAATTAAGTGAAGAATCGATGATTTTCGGGGTTAAAATACAATTTCTAGGTAGAAGGAACCGATACCCTATGAAGGGAATCGATTCCCCCTATTGGACGAAAATTCCAGTATGTGCAGGGGGAACAGATTCCCCCCTGGGGTGTATCGATTCCCCGGGAACAGATTCCCCCTGAGGGGTATCGATTCCCCCATAAATGAAAAAATGGAATTTGATTCATTAAACCGGTTTAAGTTATTAACATCAAGTTTAAAATTTAGGCTTCTGATAGTTGTTTTGAAATGATATATTCATGTAGATATTGAGCCTAAACAAGTTCCGGAATAATCAAAGGATTATAATCGAATCAAAGCAAAGCTAAGGTGAGTGCAATTTTAATTGTACTTATATTATTGAACGAACATTGGCTTGCGATGAGCCAATGATGGAGTTACTATGGTAAGAAGTGACTCCTAAAATGTTATTTGATATGTGATTCTTATATGTACATGAATACATGATATGCATAAACATAAGAGCATGAAACATAAGATATATGATATGATATACATGATTATATGCATATGTGATATATGCTATGAGATATGACCAATGTGAAATGAAATAAGCTATGTGAATATATGAAATTGCATATGAATATGCAATATGTGATATGATATGAAATATATGGTTACACATACAAGTGGTATGTGACAGAAGAGAAAGAACAAGTGATGAGAAATATATTCATAATAAATGCCCATAGTATATGATACGAGAGCTATATGTATAGTTGACATGCCAAGAGTCGAGGGTATTGTAGTCCTTCGGGACGTAGTGGTCCTACGGGACATATATAGCAGTCCTTCGGGACGAATACTGAACAAATGTTCGGTGCCCCATGAGGAAATTTATACGAGCTGTGGTGACAACATTGGTGCACAACCTTAATGTACTCACATACCTCTATTCTCAATAATATACATGGGCAACAACAACAACAATTGAAATATAAATTAAAGTGAAAGTGATGCAAAAAGGTAAGTTTCATGTGTTCATGACTTGATTATATATGTCATAGGAAATATATCCATGCATATTGAAATATCATGATCAAATGGTAAGAATGCATTTTCATGAATCTACTGTTACATGTTTATTTATTGCCTCACTAAGTCTATGACTTAGCGTGTAAGTGATTTACACGTAGGTACCAAGAAACGTGAAGAGCAAGAATAGAAGTGGCAAGGACAGTATTATTACTAGAAGATCAGATCAGAAGTAATCGACAAAGTATGTATTTTGTTGTGTATAGAGTGTTGGCATGTAATAAGTCGTTAATTATGAGTACTTTGATCAAGTTTGTATTTTGTGGTCTCTTTTATGTAAATTAAAGTATTTTGTTTTAAACAAGTTTTAAATTCCCCAGGGTTTTTCTTTAAGTGTCAAGGTTTGAAAAGTCAATGTGACACCTCAGACTCGTATTGGGGTCGAGTACGGGTTGGGGTGTTACAGTTAATAGCATCAGAGCCAATGTTTAGTCGATTCTCGACATAAACCGAAGTCTTGAGTGTTTTATAAGGTATACATGCCAACAAAATAGTGAAAACTTCTGATCTGATGGAATAGTAAGTATATTTTGTGCTAATAGAACTATATGATTGTATTTTTATAGATGTCCGGACAAGGTAGTTCAAGAAATGAAGTGGTAGATGACATACCCGCTGAAAGTAGTAATTCATCTGCCCTGGCTAGGCAGAGTGAAGAACAGACACCCTCTGGAGTGCATGTGAATGATCAAGATGTATTCTTTAGACGCGGTATTGACGCGTTTTCAACCTCCTGTTACTTCAACTCCAAAAATGAATGTTGCGAAAGAGTTTAAGGGATTAGGAGCTCCAGAGTTTAGAGGGGAAGCCGATGAAGGTCCTGTTACTGCGGACCTTTGGCTTAATGACGTGAAGGTCATGCTTACGGGACTTCATTGTTCCGATGCTGAGAAGCTAGATGGAGTAATTTCCTTGTTGAGAGGACAAGCAAGGATCTGGTGGACCAATGTTACATTGAGGATGATTAACGCCCAAGTAACTTGGTCATTGTTTTTAGAAGAATTCAAACATAAGTACATCGGAGATCAATTTGTTCGTCAAATGAAGCAAGAGTTCATGAATCTGAAGCAATGAAATCACACTTTATATGAGTACGAGTGTGAATTCAATAAGTTGAGTCGCTTTGCTGCCGAGCTTGTTCCTACTGAGAAGGATGCTTGTGAGTGGTTCGTAGAGGGGTTACGTCCTCGGTTGAAGGAGATGTTGATTGTATTGAATCTATCCTCGTTTCAAGAGGTAGTCAATCGTGCCAAAGCTTTGGAAAGAGCTCAGAATGAGAGATTTGAAAATTCAAGGACTCAAACAGTCAAGAGAAAGGGTGCTTCTTCGAGTTCCGCACCGTCAAAAAGAGGCAGAGATGCTGGTTCTCGACCTCATGCTAGATCAGAGTCAGTGGTATCCTCAGCTAGAGGATCAAATCCGTTGAGAGGCAGACAAACTCAATCAGCAGGATCTGGAGCTGGGAGATTTAACCAGAGTCAAGACAGATAATGCTAACATTGTGAAAAGAATCATTCTGGGATATGTAGAAGGATTTCTGGAACTTGCTATAGATGTGGGGAGACCGAACATTTTGTTCGGGATTGTCCTAGAGTAGTCGATGAATCTGCACAGCCAGAGAGGTCTATTTCTACAAGCCAAAGGGGAAGAGGTAGAGGAAGAAATCAGTCAGAGTCCTCTGCTCAACAAGAGATACGTTCCATTGCTCGAGTGTATAATCTCAGGACCAATGAGGATCGGGATGACCCGGAGATTATAACAGGTACCTTTCTGTTGTTTGATAAACGAGTTATGGTATTGATTGATACGAGTTCTACATATTCATACATTACTAGTAAGTTAGTGAGAGAATTGAACATTCAATTAGAAGCTACTAACAATGAGGCGATAGTGACGAATCCGTTAGGACACAGTGTTCGGGTAAATATGGTGAGTCGAGGGTGTCCCATACAAATTCAGGGAATTGAATTCCCTGCTAATTTGATGGAATTACCTTTTGAAGAATTTGAAGTGATACTGGGAATGGATTGGTTATATCGTTATTATGCTAATGTCGACTATAGACTGAAAAGAGTAACGTTGAGAAGTCCAGAAGAGATAGAAATCGTGGTGTTTAGTGAAAGGTGGAATCCATTGGCAAATGTGATCTCAGTGATGACGGTAAAGAAGTTACTGTTACAAGGATGTCAAGGGTTCATTGCTAGTGTGTTGGATGGAAGAGCCAAAGACAAAGAGATTGAAGAAATTCTTATCGTTAGAGAGTTCTCTGATGTATTTCCTGTAGAATTGCCAGGTTTACCTCCGGACAGAGAGGTAGAATTTCAGATTGAGATAATGTCGGGAACAGCGCCCATTGCAATGGCACCATAAAAGATGGCTCCAAAAGAGTTGCAAGAATTAAAGATTCAATTACAAGAATTGCTGGACAAAGGTTTTATTAGACCAAGTGTATCACCTTAGGGAGCTCCAGTTTTATTTGTTAAGAAGAAGGACGGTTCAATGCGTCTCTGCATTGACTACTGACAACTCAATAAAGTGACCATCAAGAACAAGTATCCACTTCCCCGAATTGACGATTTATTTGATCAATTAAAAGGAGCTTCAGTGTTCTCAAAAATTGATTTATGTTCGGGTTATCATCAATTAAAGATTCAAGAGAAAGATGTTCCAAAGACGGCGTTTAGAACAAGATATGGTCACTATGAGTTTATTGTAATGCCGTTTGGAGTTACGAATGCACCAGTTGCTTTCATGGATCTAATGAACAGAATTTTTCAACCCTATTTGGATCAGTTCGTGGTGGTTTTCATTGATGATATTTTAATATATTCAAAGTCAGAGGAAGAGCATAGTTCTCATTTGAGGATTATCTTGCAGAATTTACGAAACAAGAAGCTTTATGCTAAATTCTCTAAATGTGAATTCTGGTTGAATGAAGTGACATTTCTTGGACATGTAATTTCTGCAGAAGGAGTTCAAGTGGATCCTCAAAAGATTAAAGCTATTCTGGAGTGGGAAGTTCAAAGAATGTGACAGAAGTTCAAAGTTTTCTGGGGTTAGCTGGTTATTATCGAAGGTTCGTTAAAAACTTTTCAATCATAGCATTACCCCTAACTAAACTGTTGAAAAAGGAAGTAAAATTTGTTTGGACTCAAGAATGTCAAGAGAGTTTTGAAAAGTTAAAGAAGATTTTGACAGAAGCTCCAGTGTTAGTTCAACCCGAGTCTAGCAAGGACTTTGTAGTGTATAGTGATGCGTCTCATAATGGCTTGGGATGTGTATTAATGCAAGAAAGCAAGGTGGTGGCCTATGCTTCGAGACAATTAAAACCGCATGAGAAAAATTATCCGACACACGATCTGGAGATGGCTACAGTAGTGTTCGCTTTAAAGATCTGGCGTCATTACTTGTATGGTGAAAAATGCTACTTGTATACGGATCACAAAAGTTTAAAGTACTTGATGACTCAGAAAGAGTTAAATTTAAGACAGAGAAGATGGGTGGAATTTCTCAAGGATTATGATATTGTAATTGATTTCCATCTCGGAAAGGCAAATGTGGTAACGGATGCCTTAAGCCGAAAGACGTTTGCAGCCTTACGAGCTATGGATGCTAAACTATCATTAGGTGGAGATGGTGCAATTTGTGCGGAATTGACTATCAAACCATCATGGTTAGATCGAGTTAAAGAATTGAAAGCTAAAGATGAAAAGTGTTCAAAGAAGTTACAGCAAATAAAGAATGGAGAATGTACAGATTATGAGATGAAAACTAATGGGAACTTATATTATCAAGGGAGGCTAGTGATTCCAGATGTTAATGAATTAAAGAATGATTTATTAATGGAAGCTCACTGTAGTCCATTGACGATGCATCCAGGAGGAAACAAAATGTATATGGACCTCAAGAGTCGATATTGGTGGCCGGGAATGAAGAAAGACATTACGGAATTTGTATCAAAATGTTTGATTTGTCAGCAAGTTAAGGTTGAGCATCAGGTTCCGTCGGGACTGTTACAATCAATTTCAATTCCTCAATGGAAATGGGAGAATGTAACAATGGATTTTGTGACGGGATTACCTTTAACTCCGAACAAAAGAGATTCAATATAGGTGATTGTAGACAGGTTGACTAAGTCAGCTCATTTTATTCTGGTACGAACTGATTTCTCTATAGATAAATATGTTGAGTTGTATATCAGAGAGATTATACGGTTACATGGTGCACCTGTTTCCATAGTTTCTAATCGGAATCCTAGATTCACGTCACGATTTTGGAAGTCTTTACATGGATCATTGGGCAGAAGACTGAATTTTAGCACAGCGTTTTTTCATCCTCAGACAGATGGTCAGTCTGAACGAACTATCCAAATTTTGGAGGATATGTTAAGAGCTTGTGTTATCGAATTTAAAGGATCGTGGGAAAAATATTTGCCACTTGTTAAATTTGCGTATAACAATAGTTATCAGTGAAGTATCAAAATGGCTCCATATGAAGCTTTATATGGAAGAAGATGTCGTACACCCTTGAACTGGCATGAACTTAAGGATCGAGAAGTTATTGGTCCTGAGTTGATTCAGGATACGGAAGAGAAAGTTCAAGTCATTCAGAATAATTTGAAAACTGCAGCTGATAGACAGAAATCATAGGCCGATTTAAAAAGGAAAGAAATTGAGTTTCAAATCGGAGATAAAGTGTTCTTGAAAGTGTCTCCGTGGAACAGTGTTTTAAAAGGCGCGAGGCGCTCCAAGGCGATTACCTACCCGAGAGCCTTGATTTTTTAGGCGCTTTGAGTCGAGAGATTCACGTACGTGAGGCGCTTAATTTTACAAAACATTTGTAAATATTTTATAACCATACTTCAAACACAAAACAACTTAATAATTAACTTAATAAGCAAAAACACCAAGTAGCATATGTCATATTGTATCTCAAAAAGACAAATAAAAAACATCATCAATAATCAAAATGCCTAAAATGTCATATTGTATCACATCGTTGGTGTGATGATTCCGCTATTGGCTGCTACTTTTATGAGACATATTGTAGAGGTGGTTTTGATGGCTACTGGTTAGCTATGCTTTGGTGATGTTTGGAGTGGTGGGTGCTTTGGTTGAAGAATCCTATGTCGAAAAGTCAAAAGTATCATTAGATAGGGCTACACGTTCGATCGAGTCGAGTTAAGAAAAAAAATTAAGTTATTCGAGTAGATGAGTCCTATTTTATAACTCGAACTTGACTCAAATTTTTATCGAGTCGAATCGAGTTTTTGAGTTTCTATTTAAATTTAATTGTAAATATTCATAATAATATGATATTATATGATTCCAATTTAAATGGTTTTTTTATACTCATTTACAATACATATATATTTCTTCATATTTTTTATATGTGATATACATATATCATACAGAGCCGAGGGACTCGACTCATACTTGAAAATCAATCTACTAATTATTAAAAATTTTGAACTACCATTCGAGGTTTTCAAGTTGTATTTTATAACTCCATTTGAACTTGAAATTTTTTTAAGTCGTGTTTTTGAAATTACAACTCGAAGTCAATTCAAGTAGATTCAAAAAATAATTTTTTTGACTCGAGTCAAGTTTTTGCTCACCCTAATGTTAGATATGATTTTGAAAGAAAAAAAATAGTTGAGTGACTAAAAAGAAATTACAGGAATATATGAGTGACTAAATATGAATTTACCCTAAAAGTTATTGTATAACTATGACATTTAGCAAAATCTTTGAAATTCAATAAAATATTTTAATAAAATATTAAAAGAAAACCCGCAACATGGACTAACCCAAATCAAGTCCTAAAACAAAATGAATCTGGCGAATAATGCGTCCAGGTTCATCTCTTCTGCCCCATACCATCTCATTTATTTAAAATCTCATTCGTCTCTCTCCACTTCTGCCATTGAAAGAAGAGAGAAAAAACTAAAAACTCCTTTAAACATCACCGAAATCTTCCATTTCTCTGTTTCCTCAGAAGAAATGAAAGAGAAAAAATAGATGGAAGAGCCTCCTTACTACATCCTTCACAAGCTTCCTCCTGGGAATAGCCCTTACGTTCGAGCCAAACATGTTCAGGAAATCTAAAGCCCAATCTGAAATGGGTCATTGTACGTGAATCGCTAAAAGCATCGCCTCGTCGCCTCTCGCTGCCTCATGTACTCGCCGTCGCCTTGGTGGTCGGAGGCTTTCTTCTAAACGCCTCGCCTCGCCTAGCGCCTCAAGGTGCCTCAGGCGCGCTTTTTAAAACACTGTCGTGGAAGAAAGTATTGAGATTTGGACGTAAAAGAAAATTGAGTCATCGGTTTATTGGACCATATGAAATCGTTAAGAGAGTAGGACCAGTGGCATATCAATTGGTTTTGCCACCTGAAATGGAGAAAATCCGTCTTTCATGTCTCCATGCTTAGGAAATATCGATCCGATCCATCTCATATTGTGACTACCGAAGATATCGAAGTTCAATCAGATTTGACTTATGAGGAAGAACTTGTTCAAATATTGGCTCACGAAGTCAAGCAATTAAGGAACAAGACTATTTCATTAGTCAAAGTGTTGTGGAGAAATCACAAGGTGGAAGAAGCGACGTGGGAACGTGAAGAGGACATGAAGATTCAATATCCCCATCTCTTTGTACAATGAAAATTCGAGGACGAAATTTCTTAAGGGGAGAGATTTGTAACATCCCAAAATACGGGTTAGTGACTAAATTGTAAAACTTCAGAATTTGGTGATTAAAGTAGAATAATTGGATAATTCAATGATTTATCTGGAAGGATTGTTAGTAATTATTAAAAGAAATAAAGGGCAAAATTGTCATTTAACCATTAAATGATTAAATTGTATTATGTTGAGGATATATACGGGGAAAGGGATAAGAAGAATATCTCTTCTTCTCCTCTTTGTTCTTCCATATGAGAGAAAGCCACAGCAAAGGTGAGTTTTCTATTTTCTTGGTTATTTGTTGTTTTAAAAGTTGGGTTATGATCACTAGATGATAATTAAGCTAAGAAAAGCTTAATTTGTTCTAAAACAAAAAGATTAAGAAGTTATAAGAGATTTAAGAAAACGAGTTTTTATATGAAATCATGGAAAAGAGTTGATAAGTTGAATTTGAAGTTAAATTTGACTTGTCATCATGCTAATTAAGGAATATGAAGTGTTAGAATGGTATTTAGAACATATTGAAATTTGAGTATGATTCTTGAATTACATATGAAGGATAGAATTTTGAAGTTATAGATGATTTTCATGGATATAAGTTGGTTTAAGTAATGGTAGTTGAGTTTAATGACATGATAGGGGTTTAAAATAGAAGAATTAAGTGAAGAATTGATAATTTTCGGGATTAAAATATAATTTCTGGGTAGAGGGAACCGATACCCTATGAAGGGAATCGATTCTCCCTCTTGGACGAAAATTCCAGTATGTGCAGGGGGAACAGATTCCCCCCTGGGGGTATCGATTCCCCGGGAACAGATTCCCCCTGGGGGTATCGATTCCCCCCTAAATGAAAAAATGAAATTTGATTCATTAAACCGGTTTAAGTTATTAACATCAATTTTAAAGTTTAGGCTTATGATAGTTGTTTTGAAATGATATATTTATGTAGATATTAAGCCTAAACAAGTTCCGGAATAATCAAAGGATTATAATCGAATCAAAGCAAAACTAAGGTGAGTGCAATTTTAATTGTACTTATATTATTGAACGAACATTGGCTTGCGATGAGCCAATGCTGGAGTTACTATGGTAAGAAGTAACTCCTAAAATGTTATTTGATATGTGATTCTTATATGTACATGAATACATGATATGCATAAACATAAGAGCATGAAACATAAGATATATGATATGATATACATGATTATATACATATGTGATATATGCTATGAGATATGACCAATGTGAAACGAAATAAGCTATGTGAATATATGAAATGACATATGAATATGCAATATGTGATATGATATGAAATATATAGTTACACATACATGTGGTACGTGACAGAAGAGAAAGAACAAGTGATGAGAAATATATTCATAATAAATGCCCATAGTATATGATACGAGAGCTATAGGTATACCAAGAGTCGAGGGTATTGTAGTCCTTCGGGACGTAGTGGTTCTACGGGACATATATAGCAGTCCTTCGGGACGAATACTGAACAAATGTTCGGTGCCCCATGAGGGAATTTATATGAGCTGTGGTGACAGCATTGGTGCACAACCTCAATGTACTCACATACCTCTTTTCTCAATAATATACATGGGCAACAACAACAACAATTGAAATATAAATTAAAGTGAAAGTGATGCAAAAAAGTAAGTTTCATGTGTGCATGACTTGATTATATATGTCATAGGAAATATATCCATGCATATTGAAATATCATGATCAAATGGTAAGAATGCATTTTCATGAATCTACTGTTACATGTTTATTTATTGCCTCACTAAGTCTATGACTTAGCGTGTAAGTGATTTACATGTAGGTACCAAGAAACGTGAAGAGCAAGAATAGAAGTGGCAAGGACAATATTATTACTAGAAGATCAGATCAGAAGTAATCGACAAAATATGTATTTTGTTGTGTATAGAGTGTTGGCATGTAATAAGTCGTTAATTATGAGTACTCTTATCAAGTTTGTATTTTGTGGTCTTTTTTATGTAAATTAAAGTATTTTGTTTTAAACAAGTTTTAAATTCCCCGGGGTTTTTCTTTAAGTGTCAAGGTTTGAAAAGTCAATGTGACACCTCAGACTCGTATTCGGGTCGGGTACGGGTTGGGGTGTTACATTGCATGCGCTAAGTTCATGATGTAAAACTTTCTTGCTTCATTAACTATTAAGCTTAGCATACCTTGAGGGATTCTCTAATCTCATCATTGAACTTCTTGCCTCATATACTCGTTCCCCCTTTGCCTGTTCCCGTTGGATCTCCACCTTGAATCATGAAACCTTTAATATTCCTGTGAAATATAGTCCCATCATAATAACCACTTGCACAGAGTGCCAAAAAGTTCTGCATCCAAACAAAGATTAGTATTATTTACATGGGCAATAGCTAAAAACAATAAGTACTTTATAAAACATAAACGAATGCACTTCACAAGAAGTGAGGCCTAGGAATTTTATACCCTATACTACGTGAAATTTCTCCATTGTAATTAAGTTAAGCAAGACTTTATGCCACACACAATGAAAAATTCAAAGATTGATAAAGAAAACCATAAGTATAGCCTATGTTACTAGCATTTGGGTATTAGTGTCCAATACAGGTATGGATATGGCGTTCAAATGTTTAACTTCGCCATGCAATCTAAAGGTGGAGCATTATACTCTCATACCCGTATCCTTGGGTGTCTGATAAAGGTATTTCAAAAAGATGTAAAGTCTAAGCAACTTATAGGTATACAACAAAACTATATAATACATAATTATACACAACTCACATATGCAGTGAAAGGAGACACACTCCTTTCAAGTCATAGCCTACATAGAATTTTTCCAATTTCCTATTTTTTTTATTAGGGCACCAATTGGTCCCAAAAAGCATTCCCTAAAGCAAATTTCTAGACGTAAATGTATATTTTGTCATCTCCTAATTTTATTTCTGAACAGCTAGAGGCAGCAGAACCTTCAGCTAGTGTTCTTTTCAGATAAATAAAATAAATTCCTGAAAAATAAAAGAAATATGTGAAGCAAATGCAGGTCCTAACCTCCGCCGTCTTAGCGACCTCGTCGCAGAAGATCTCGCACTTAATGTCACCGAGATTTGTATGCAAAGTAACTGACTGCAATCCCGAAGAAAGCATCGATTAGATTTGGTAACGTATTGCATGTGTTCGATATAATTACTCAAACAGAACTCACCATGTTATGAATAGGCTCATAAATCAAAATCAAAGGTAGAGGAGTTCCTTGGGTTGATCAAGCGTCTGGGTTTCGGTGATTGTAGGAACTAGTAGGCGTATCTTTCTCCAGAGTTCAGACTTCAAGTTGTGGCCCCGTTGCGCTTTTGGGTTCAAGGGCTTACAGCTTGAGAATTGCCGGGGTTTTTTTTATTCTGAAGATCTTTCTAGACTGCGGAACCGACGGCCGACACTGCCTTTATATGGGAGAACTGGGCCAGCGGCTAGTTCCCCTCGATCCCATGTTGGACTCAGATTCGTATGGTAAATTACTTGGTATTCTATCTCTTCCTCAATTTTCTTTTAACATTCAATTATTTTAAAAAAATTACATCTAATATTATATTATATTTTTATTTTATTACTTGACCGTTAAATTTCAACATTAACTTAATTAAAAAATATATATAATATGATATTATAACAGTTTTAATATCAAAGCTTATATATTCAATCAAATTTATCTTTTCAAAATAATTTAAGGCTAAAGTTTGGTCCCTGATTATATGATAGTGCTTTGTTAAATCTCCCAGTATTAAAAGTTACGAAATGGTTCTTCGACTATAAGATATTGCTTTGTTGAGTCATTCGACTATTAAAAACTATAAAATAGTCACCCAATTATTCATATGTTTTAAACTTGTCATTTTTTGTTCAAAAATTGGTGTTCTTTTGAGTTGAATGTTAATTTATTGATTGATATATGATAAAATATGATCCCAAAACCGTTTGAGTTGTATTTTATGGATCGACTCTCTGTTTACATTATGTCGTTGAGTCAATGCTTGAAACATTATGTCATTGAGTCAGTGTTTAAAGTAACGACGGTGCCACTAGTCATTATTAAAATATGATTTTATTATATTTCAATCAACATTTTAACGTACAACTCATAAGACCGTTAATTTTTAAACAAAAAAGGATAAGTTTGGAACATATGAATAGTCGGATGACCATTTTGTAACTGTTAATAGTCTGAGGACTCGACAAAACACCACCCTATAATCGATGATTATTTTATAACTTTTAATAATTATAAATTCAACAAAACAACATCTATTAATCGAGAGACCATTTATATACTTTATCCATAATTTAATAAATTTTAAATTTTATTATTAAATATATATTTGAAAATTTTTATATTTAAAGAAAGTTTTCTTATAATTTTTTTACAAAATTTTCGAATTTAATATATACCCTATAAATTATAATGCTTCTAAAATGTCAAATGTTCATCCCGATTAATTTTTTTTTAAAAATAATCGAATCAAAAATTTCTTCAAATATCAGAATAATAATGGAATTCAACTAAAAAGGCCAAAATACCATTTAACCTCATCAAATTCATGGTTGAACTTCAACGCCTATATGTACAACAGTAGAGCTTAATGTGTCAGAAGAGAGCCTTGGCTTATGCAACAGATTACATGAAAACTAATGAAAGTTTCTCCCCATAAAAACCTAGCCAGATAAGCACCAACCATTCAAGGATGTAGGGTTATAATAAAAACCCATCATCAAACTCACTCTGGCCTTTGAAAAAAATTTATAACACTGCATCTGAGGCTATTAAAGGCCCTATTTTTTGCATGTACCCTTGGGGTTTGCATTCTTAAGAATCCAAGGGTGCTCCATGATCTTCTGAAGAGAGAGCCGTTTTGAGGAGTCCTTCACAAGAAGCTGCAAATAAGATTCAATTTACTGTATTCAGAATTTCATATGTAAAAGTTTCTACAATAATTTTCCATAAAAATCCATATTTGTTACCCGGCTGATGAGATTTTTAGCCTCCATTGAGACATTAGGTGTTGATGGGAAGCTCAAGTCAACCTTCATAATCCTGTTATATCACACAACTTGATATCAATACAATGTTTTCAATACACAGAAGGCTAATGCATAAGAAAACACCCATTTCTACTTACCTCTTGAATGTATCGCTTTGACTCTCGGACTCGAATGGAGGAGCACCGTAGAGGAACTCGTAACAAAGAATACCCAAGGTCCAGTTATCCACTGCATAATCATGAGCTTGGTTTTCCACCATTTCTGGTGCTAAATAATCCAGAGTTCCACACATTGTGTGTCTCTTGCTTCTTGATTGTACCGACCATCCAAAGTCTGCAATCTTCAACCGACCCTATGTGCGCGTATATGTATGTAACCATAATGATATTACTCGAACACAATTCAAGTAGCATATGATAACATTAACGATCAAACCCAACATATAATTTCATACAAAAATTCCCATGCTGAGGACAGTTTATACATACAAAATGGATTTCTCAATAGGTCATAGCTATGCAAAAGAAGCGGATGCAGGAAGAGAAGAAAAAGGAAATGCATTAGCTTACCTCATGATCAAGCAGCAAATTTTCTGGTTTGATATCTCTGTGAATTACATGTTTCTCATGACAATAAGCCAATGCTGTTGTCAGACTAGCAATGTACTGAGAAAAAAATAATTCGGATCATAAAAATGAATGAACTCAAATAATTAAAACTGAAATCTATTAATAAATTGAAAATAACTTAAGCAATTGAAACACACAGAGAGGAAGAAAAAAGAGGACTGGGTCATTACCGTGGCAGCTTGTTCCTCACTGAAATGACCATGTTTTCTAAGCTCGTTATAAAGCTCGCCCCCATAAGCATACTCAAGAATCAAGAAAATACGTTCGCTATCATGAAACCAGCCGTGAAGGCGCAGTACATTGGGATGACGAAGGCTGGTCTGGATTTCCATTTCTCTCCTCAACTGATGGTGGATCTTGTATTTTTCTAACTGTTCCTTGAATATAATTTTCAATGCCACAATGAATTTGCTCTACCAGAAAGACGGAGTAAATAGACAACGATCATGAATTTCAGAGACAATGAAATTGTAAATTAAAGTTTAAAAGAGTAAATAAATTGGATGAAAAAGAAAACCTTGACTTCTCTGGCGAGATAGACTCTACCGAATTTGCCTTTTCCGAGGGGTTTTCCGATCTCGAAGTCTTTTAAGGACCATTTTCGCTCCGAATTTCCTTCTCCTTGGCTTTGAGAAATCATTTCAACTGATTCAGAAGGAATCGGAGATAGAAAATCAAAAGTATTTTGGCGTTTGGGATCGGGAAGATAATGAATTTGAATTTTAGAAACCGCGCATATGTCTTGGGCCTATGGCTTTTTAATGGGCCTCAATGCCATATCAGATAACAAGTTGGCAACTAATTTAGTAATTGGTACATAAATTATAGGATAAATTATGTAGTAATTACAATTTTTTTATTTCATTTTGGTCGTCAAATTAATTTCAGTGGTAAAGCCATCACTATCTCAGTTTAGACCTCTAGAAAAGGCCTAAAGCTCAACAACTTAAAATTATGTCAAAATACAATTGTAGAGGGTCGAACAAGAGACCCATACAAATATATATATATATATATATATATATATATATATATATATAATCATTGAATGAAACTATACAATTACTATAATTTTAACCATTAACTTAAAATTAACCAACTTCGTAATAACTTTAAACCCTAAAATTCTCTCTAGTCGTTTGTTTTTTTATTCCTTTTTTCTTCTTCTTCCTTGTTTGGTTACTGTTGACATCAACCTTGGTATTGGTCACTGACGGTTTGTAATTCCAGTTATTTATTTATTTTTTATATATCGAGCTAAGTTTAAAAATATTTCAATTCAAGTTTTTTTGAGCTCGAGTTTGAACTTCAATTGAGCTAAATCTTAAAATGTTTCAAGTTAAAGTTTTTTCAAGCTCGAGTTTGAGCTTCAATCGAGCTAAATCTAAGAATATTTCAAGTTTTTCCGAGCTTGAGTTTGAGCTTCAATCGAGTTAAGTCTAAAAATATTTCAAGTTCAAAATTTTTCGAGCCAGAGTCGAGCTTCAGTTTTTAATTTTGAGTCGAGCTTGAAAATTTTAAGCTCACGAGTTTTCGAGTCAAGTCGAACTTCAATTTTTAATTTCGAATTTTAGTCTAACTTGATAATTTTAAACTTATGAATTTATGAATCGAATCAAACTTAATTTTATACTTTTCGAATCAAATCGAACTTAATTTTATACACACCAAATCAGGCCAAATGCATTCCACAAATTTATCGTGCATGTCTTCGATGCTTTTGTAGCTCGTTCTTGATACATACTGCAATTATTATCATAAAAATTACTACTTTTTCAAATTTACAAAAATAAAACTTGCAAAACAGATCCTTCTTTTTAACTTTTTTACATACTTCAACCCTGTGATGATAATGGACGGTATCGCAGAATCATAACGCTTTGAGTGCTTGGTAAAGACTCATTAGAAATCAATACAATATAAATTTACTTCACAACCTAACAGTCGACAAGAATAAGAATTATAGTTAAAGTCTGATTCAGTTCGGAAAGTCAAATGAGCAGGAATGTAAATGAACATAATGTTCGGTGAACTATTCGTTTATGTTCGTTTATTAAGTTAAATAAATGAGTATAATCAATTTTTTATGTTCGTTTAATAAACAAACGAATACAAACATATGTGTCAATTCGTTTATGTTCACGAACAAGTTCATTTATCAACTCGTTCATTTATATTCATAAACAATATCTCATTTCTTTGTATTTTTTTACATTTTAAATATTGATAAAGGTAAGGACTAAATTAAACACATGATTAAAGTTGAAAATTAAACTGTGAATTTTAAGAAGTTTAAGCACTAATAGCGTAATTTTATAATTTTTCTTTAGCTCGCAAATAAAAAGATAAAAAATTAAAAATTGAACATACAAACAAACGATAAACAAACATTAAACTAATGCTAAATGAATATGTTCCTAAACATAAAAACGAACATGTTTACAAATAATAAATAAACGAACACAAACACCTTCAAAAATAAATAAATGAATTCAAACTCAATATTAAAATTTTAAGCGAACACAACCCGAACATGAACTCCTTCAAAAATAAACAAACGAACAATAAAATAACCTTGTTCGATCAGGGTCAATTCATTTACACCCCTACAAATGATAAGGATGGATCTATGCTATCCTTTTACAAGATAGCATTTACTTGCACGAAAAGAGAACTGCTTAAAATAACAGAATCAGAATTTTGAAATATGATAAAAATGTTCATACATATTGAATCCTTCAAAACGAGCCCTTGTTGAAAAAAAATACAGTGGACTCCAGTTCATACGAGGTTCAATATTCTGTCTAAATTGAACTTATATCCAAAATGGAGAAAGGACGAAAAAGATCATAGTGTGTCTTCACATGTTAACATTCGTACAACTTGTTAACTCGCTCCGATAGCCGAGTGCTTAAGGGGATGAATTTAATGAATTACAAAGAAGAAGAATCAATGTGGGAAAGAGAAGCAAAAAAAATGTCCAACTTCAATTAATCAAATTCACTCACTAAGGTTGCAGCTGCGTAGGTAGGGATGATCATACTTGATGTACTTGGTCCAGTATGATCGATATTTGGTCATTGCCAACTCCAGCCATGGTTTCATGTTGCCATTGTAGTGGATTACTGCTGCGTGTTCGATTTCCTTTTTGTCTACACTTGGATTGTAGCCCAGACCAAGTACATGCCATGACTTCTCAACCGGATGCGTGAGACCGTAAAATGTAATCAGCCCTGGAGGGAGAGTCCCAAGCTTCCATAGCGTTCTATCTTCATTCTGATAAACAATTTTTTACAAATAAATAAATAACAATTATACATGAGCCTTCTCTAATGTCAGCCAGAATGATATATGATGATAGGCAAACTCTTGGGTTTGACCCCATAACAATTACATGCATGCATGAAGGAGAACAAATAACATGAAATCAGATATATGGTCAATCCAAAGACTCACCATATTTTGCCACTTGTGGTATATGCCAGTGATATCCCTCTTTTTCCACTCCTTGAGATCAAACATATTCATCCCGTATGCCCACCCGCAAGCATTAGGATCAAAGTTTCGTGAAATATGAGGATTTGAGAAGTTTAGATACTTATCATAGCGGTGAAAACTTTCGCCACAAGTTTCAACTGCACCATTTACTTTCCCATGGAGATCCACAGACCATAATCCAGTCAAGTCTTTCTGGACAACAATGTCATCATCAAGAAAGAGAATCTTATTTAACTTGGGGTATACTTGTGGCAGATAGAACCGCAAGTGGTTAAGCATTGATAGATACTTTGGGTTTCGATACTTCAAGTTTGAAGATGCAGATTTGGTTGGATTATCTGCCTTGAAATAATACTCTTTCATTGGAGCAGTTTTAAGCTGCCGTAGGACAGGGCAATAGGATGAATTAAGCCACTTGAATTCATCAACATTTTCAACATGAATGGTTGCTTTTCCAGGGTGATTCAACAGAAACCACATGTTCATTGCTCCAAAATTAAGTTTATTGGTAACAAGATGGAAAACATGTTTTGAAGGATCCTGCAACACCACAAAGAAGAAACTTTAGTCAGGACTGCAGCACAGCCTCAATTCTTAAAGATCTACCAATCAGATTTAATTCTAGAAGTGCGAACCAAAAAACAAACAAGACAGTAATGCAAGATTCTTTCAAGAAAAGGAAAGACAGTTAAACAAGATAAGGCAGCTTATATCACCTTGGAATTCATGATAGTTGAGTTGACAACAACTGATGCAGCCAAGACATTATCAGAGAAGAGAGCATAATGGTAAAGGTTTGGATTTTCCAAATTCTCACTTCTAGGAAACTTTCTCTTCTCTATGGGAAGGAGATAATATTCTATTGTCAAACGCATTGATAAACAATGAATCGCATTGGGAATTGTTTTGGCAGCTAATTGACTCAGGAATGTGCTCTGTTTTTTCAAGCTTCTAACTTGTTCTTCTGATGTCTGAAGCATTGCTCTGAGCTTTCCAGTGACCAACTTGCAATCATACAATTGCTCTCTTGCTTTGGATAGAACCTGGCCCATTGTTTTAATCTTCTCGGGTGCACTAAACAAAGTGCATGAGAAAATAGAATAAGAAACTTCTGGAATCACCAAGAGTGAAAATAGAAGGAAACATTGACTGCACATTGCCAATGAGATTACAGATATACCATCCTTTTACCTGTGAGGTAGATCAGCATCAACTGTTGGCTCTCCAACTGCACGCTGACTCTCTTTTAGCTTGATAAGCAGTTCTTGCTGCAAATCAAGCTTATTTTTCATCTTTGCTATGCTTATATAAACCTGTGCCATTATAATTTGATCCCTCATCAAGCGCACTGTGGAATCTGAGTTATCATTCTCAAATTCTCTCCTCCATATGTTGTATCTTCCCAGAACAGCAGAGTCCACAGCTTTGGATCGCTCAATGGCAGCATTTTCAAGTTTCAAAGTAGCTGCATTATCTTGCTGCACCAATTCAGCAGCCCGCTTCGAACGTCTACTATCTCTAAGTTGCTGGAAGAAAAATCAAATGCACATTTATAATATACTTCATTATGATATAAATCACATACTGTATATAAAGCTGATAATTACCCTTCGAAGTGTTTTCGCAGGTGTATCATACGAATGCTCATCTGCATCAAATAGGCAAGTCAGAATGAAAGAAAGCTACGTCAAGAGAATCATGCATATATTTCTGGTGAGACATTACCATCTAGAAGCCTTCCCTCTTTAATTTCGGACATTTCTTGTTTCGAGTCTGTTGCCTTCTGTTTTGACTATGAACATGTGAGAATCCAATAAACATCAATCAATCAGCAACTATAATTGGAAACAAAATATGAAAAAGACTGTAAAAAATAGAAAAGTGCCCAGTAGATGTAACTGGTGTGGTACAGCATTACTACGAAACCAACCTGAGAAGCAGCAGCATCTTCAACAACTTTCCATGATGCAGACAAGTTGCCTTTTCTGAAAGAATCTAAACTTAGTGGCCCCAGATCAGCCGTGCTTGTAGTTACAACATCAATAACCTAGAATCAATTCACGTGCGGCCTCAGACAATAAAATAACTGACAACTTAAACCTATCACTTGTTAGAGCAAGAAATATGATTAATTCAGCTTGCGTATTCAGTATTATCTGACATGCACTTACCTCCTTCGTGAAAAGGTTTTTGATAGATTGCAATGCCAGCCTTTCCCTCCAATCAACATTCTACAAAACCCAAAACATATTAAAACCGTGTAAAGTGAGAACAAAGAGGCCACATGAGTCTGTTATTATAACAGCAATGTAAACAAAAAGCTTTTAAAGACGAAACCTGCTTGGTATAACCACTTTGAACACTATTTTGATCTGCACAAGAAACAAAATCAGCAAAGATCAGATGCAATCAATTGGAAAACGCCAAAACTTAAAGAAAAATTGAAAGGCAAGATATTCAACATGGGTAACAACACAATAGAAATCACATCTCAAATTTATATTCACCAAGCAACTAAACAGAGATTAGCTGAATTAAAAAATTGCTGAATTTTTTGGTTAAAAGTTCTATTAATACAATTTACACGAAGTGGAGGTTTCAGTTAAAACTGAAACTTACTAGGAACTAGCATTCACGAAAAATCGTGTAACTCAAGTAGACCACTTGATCTCAAAATTTTCTAACGAAACCACATGTCAAAAACTTCTAAAAAATCACCAACCTATCCTCAAAACCAATCACTAGAAACATTTATCAACCGATTAAACAACGAATTAATTGAAATCATTTCGAAATTAATTTTCTGAATTGCATAAACTAAATGTATAACGATATCAAAGTGAGATCTGCTAAATATACTTAAAATGCGGAGAGAAGTGAAGAGAAAAAAGCGAACCAGATAGATAAAGTCCACGACCGACAAAGAAAACAAGCGGAGCGAGAACTGAGAAGAGAACGAGAATCACGATTGGGAATCCAGATCCATAACTTCTGTTCCTGTGGACGCCCACACTGGATAGTCCCCGCTTCAACGCCATTGGCAATCAAAGCCTAAGGACAACAACAACAAAATCACTCAGATTTTTTAAAGAAAAAGTGAAGAATCAAAAAGCGAGGAAAAAAGGAGAATTACAAGTTAACGGCGAGGAGATCTCGTGAAACTGAGAGCAGCAGATCCGTATCAAAGCTAGTAGTAGAAATGAAAATCCATAGCAAATCAATCATCAGATAAAAGCGTCAAACAGATGCCTTTTATTAGCGTGGGGAGAAAGGGTAATGCAGCTCAAAGCGTTAATTTGGACTTTGCCCTAAGCAAGCAAGCAAGCAGAGAGAGGGAGAGGGAATGAGAATGGTGATTAAAGTTAAATTGTGAATTTCAATCTCGGCTGAGGACTGGGCTTTTTCTATTTTTCTGATGGTATTTCTTTTTATCGTTATCGCTCTCGCCCTGCCTTTGTAGAGAAAGAGATAATTACCTTTTTCCTTTTTAAAAATAACGTCAAGTAGCTGACAGAACGATGTCGTTCCTTTACCAGTCTGGCTGGGACCACCTGATTCCAATCAACTAATATGTGCACGAGACGAGTACTTCGTTGAACCTATATTACATAGGGTAAACTACTAGAATGGTCTTTTATCTTTTATCTTTGTATATTTCTACTCATTAAATTAAAAAAGTTAAGTTTTAATTACTTATATCATCGTTTTATTAAGTGTGACGTTAAATATCATTAGTTTAATGCGTTACACGTTAGTAAAAGAGTTTATTTTTTAAATTTAACTCCAAAATTTAGATAAAATACTAATTGTGAGCTTTTTTTGTAAACCCAAAGTAATTTAGGGACAAGTTTTCAATGTGTTTTTTTTATATGGGTTTTTCAACTGGCACCTCTGTCAAAGCCCAAGCTTTCCCACCACTAGCGTTGCACACTCCATCCCTAGGTTTCTTGTTGTTCATCTTCTCCGTCGTTGTCCATCCCTAAATTACCGATAGATTCATATTAGATAATTTTTGTTTATAAGCCTTTATTTATGATGTATTCGATATTAAAACATTTTTCATTCATCTTCTTGAAAATTTTCTACTTTGTCGAGCTCTATTATTAGAAATCAATCCATATGACGCTTTAGGATGCTTTCAAATCAAGAGTCTGCTACGCGCTTAGAAGAGGAAAGTAGGCTCATTTGTCCAAACTCCATACCAGGCGCCTTTGTTTGTTAGTTCCTCCTATGTCTTTCTACAATCCCTTTGAGTTATGAAATTCTAATATGTTATTTGATGTGGTGATAAGTCGGATATTTGCACGATTTTCATATATAATTTTTTATGTTTTAACATTCTAGTCTATTTTAAAGTCTTTGTTTTAGCAAGTATTTGATATTTCAAATATTTGGATAGCTAAAGGACAGTTTGTTGCGGAAGACGGCTATCGGATAGAGAAAAATCGCAACTGATAATTTGAGAAAATAAAAATGAAGATAAAAGAGACAAAATTTACGTGGAAAACCCCTAAAAATTTAGGGTAAAAACCACGGGCAACAGTAGAAGAATTTCACTATGGGAAAATAGGAATTACAACCTCTCTCGATCTACCAAGGAGAAAACAATGATAATTCTCTCTTGATAAAAAGGAGAAAACAACTCTCAAGAAACTCTCTAAATTCTCTAGTATTTGGAAGAAAGCTAGAATGCTTTGGGATGATTTTGAAGCTAAATGAGCTAGGGTATTTATAGTTGAAACCTAAGGACTAATCTTGTAAATACCCTAAAATTAAAGTGACTAAATTTGGTATTTTACCCTTGCTAATTTTCAACAATTTGCAGCCATTTTAGACTAATATTAGCCGCCCCATATTAGCCGCCCATATGCTAAATTCATTTTTTTGACTTTCAATAATCTCCCACTTGAAGATTTGATTGAAACAATCATATCTTCACACCATTCTTTCTACCTTATACCATCATGTTGCTTACGTTTCTGACAGACCACAAGAGGATCGACACCAGTTAAATTTATCAGCATTGATTGCCTTCGTCATGAAATCTGCTATGTTGTCTTTGGTATAGATCTTCTGCATATCTACCGTTCCTTCTTCCACCTTTTCACGAATGAAATGGTACTGAACTCGTATGTGCTTTGTCCTTGAATGAAATGCTGGATTCCTTGCTAGATGCAAGGCGCTTTGACTGTCACAAAACAAAGAGACATACTTTTGATTGTGCCCAAGCTCCTCCAATAACATCTTCAACCAAATTGCTTCTTTACTGGCTTGTGTAGCTGCTACATATTCTGCCTCTGTTGTGGATGTAGCCACAATTGACTGCAATTTTGAAACCCAGCTTACAGCTCCACTAGCAACTTTGAACACATACCCTGTAGTAGATTTGCTTTTATCCAAATCCCCTGCATAGTCAGAATCTACATACCCATTGATTAGTAAATTTGATCCTCCGTAACATAATGCAACATTTGAGGTCCCTTTGATGTATCTTAGGATCCTCTTTACAATATTCCAATGCTCTTTACCTGGATTCGCCATGTACCGACTAACCACTCTCACTGCTTGTGCAATGTCTGGTCTTGTGCATATCATAGCGAACATTAAACTTCCCACTGCTGATGCATACGGTACTCGAGACATCTCCATCCTCTCTTTCTTCATTGCTAGGACTCATACTGGAGGATAATTTGAAGTTAATAGGAAGAGGGATAGAAATTGGCTTACAATCTTGCATATTGAATCTTGACAAGATCTTCTTCAAGTAATTCTTTTGTGAAAGCCAAATCTTCCTATTACTTCTGTCTCGGTGAATTTGCATCCCTAGAATCTTGTTTACTGATCCCAAGTCCTTCATTTCAAATTCCCTAGCCAGTTGTGCCTTCAATTCTTCAATATGATCTTTGTTGGGTCCTGCAACCAACATGGCATCCACATACAACAACAATATAACAAAATCGTTATCTCCAGACCTCTTGAAATAAGCGCAAGGGTTTGTATTAAGTCTGTTGTATCCAAGGCACATAATGAAGGAATCAAATCTCTTATACCAACACCTCGGTGCCTACTTTAGACCGTACAGAGATTTGTTTAACCTGCAAACCAAGTTCTTCTTTTCTTCTTCTTCAAAACCTTCAGGCTGGAGCATATAAATTTCTTCTTCAAGATTTCCATGAAGAAAAGTTGTTTTAACATCTAGCTGCTCTAGATGTAAATTCAATGTAGCACACAATGCCAAAACTACTCGAACTGTTGTTAGTCGAACCACAGGAGAAAATATTTCATTGAAATCAATACCTTCTTTTTTAGCATATCCTTTGACCACCAGTCTTGCACGATACCTCTCAACTTGATCGTCACCATTTCGCTTGATTTTGAAGACTCATTTGTTACTAATCGGCTTCCTTCCTTGTGGTAGTGGCACAAGGTCCCATGTATTATTTTTATGAAGGGCTTCGATTTCTTCTTGCATCGCCATCATCCACAGTGAAGCATCTGAGCTTTGTATTGCCTCCTGGTATGTTGATGGCTCACCGTCCTCTGTTAAAAGGTAGTATGTAACATTTCCTTCTATAATATAATCTGAGTGCCAATTGGGACATCTTCTCACACGATCTGATTGACGAGTTGTTGGAGCTTCAGAACTCTCTGGTTCTTGTTTATCATGTGTTGGTTCTGCTTCAGAAAAATCTCCTTGTTCAAACTCCTTTTCCACATGTATCTGTGTAGTCTCTGACTTTTCAGCGCTGTCATCGTCTTCTTTTCTTTGTAGATTATCTTCTACAAAGATAACATCCCTACTAATGATCACTTTGCGGGCAGTGGGATCCCACAAGCGATACCCTTTTACTCCATCAGCATACCCCAAGAATTTGCATTTCCTGGATTTTGGATCCAGCTTTGAAATTTCTTGGGCGTTGTATATCACGTACACAATACTTCCAAATATATGGAGGTTTGAATAATCAGTTGTTTACCAGTCCACATCTCCATTGGTGTCTTCAGCTCTATTGCAGTTGATGGAGCTCGATTCACCAAATAACAGGCGGTATTGACTGCTTCTGCCCATAATGATTTTTCTAGGCCTGCATCCATCAACATTGCTCTTGTTCTTTCTAACAAGGTTCTGTTCATCCGCTCTGCCACTTCATTTTGTTGAGGAGTGTTTGCCACTGTGAACTGTCTTTTGATGCCTTCTTTCCTGCAAAAGTCATCAAATTCTTCGCTTGTGTATTCACCTCCATTATCTGTTCTGAAACACTTGATCTTATTTCCAGAATCAAGTTCCACCCGCGCTTTGAAGATTTTGAAAGTTGAAAACACATCTGACTTCTTCTTAATAGGATACACCCAACATCTCCTAGAGTAGTCATCAATAAACGAGACAAAGTATTTTGCTCCACCTAGGGATGTAATTGGTGCTTGCCATACGTCAGAATAAACTAATTCTAGAACATTTTTGCCTCTGGAATTTGATGTGTTGAATTTCAACCGGTGCTGCTTACTTGTTATGTAATGCTCACACAAAGTAAGTGATACCTTTGTTAAGCCTGGAAGTAGCTTTTGCTCCACAAGAACTTTCATTCCTTGTTCTGACATGTGTCCAAGTTTCTGATGCCATAGCATTGAAGAATCTGAACTACATGAGGCAACAGAGGCTTCTGCTTCTAGCAAAGTCTTTCCCTTCAGCATGTACAAGTTTGCAACTATCTTTTCACCTTTCAGCACCACAAGCACTCCACGGAACACCTTCATGATTCCTTTTCGTGTTTCAATCTTGCTAGCATTATTATCCAACAATCCGTAGGATAATAAATTTTTCTTCAGGCCTTTCACGTGCCGCACATCTCGAACAACTTTAATTGTTCCATCATACATCTTTAATTTGATGGTTCCCACACCAACGATCTCTAAAGCATGATCATTGTAACTATACACAGATCCTCCTGAGACAGGTTCATAATGATGGAATCATTCTCTTCTTGAGGTCATGTGATATGTCGCTCCCGAATCAATGAGCCATATATCTGTAAATCTTTTTCTACCTTCCACGGTGGTTGACGCTTCACAGCATAGAGTATCTCCATCATCTGAAGTGTTTGCAGTATTGCCTTGTGGATTGGAGTTTTTATTTAGACTCCAACAATCCTTCTTCAAGTGACCCTTCTTTCCACAGTTGTAGCACTTTAAATTCTTCTTGCTCATCGATTTTGATTTACCATGTTTGTGACTGCTGCTTTGGCCACGTTCTGTTGATCTCCCTCTCATCGTTGTCAATGCTTCTGCTTGTTGCAGATTTACTTGTCAGTCTTCCTTGTTCTTGC